TGCCACTCTTTTAGTCCAGTCTCCCTAAGGCCTTCTACACCTGGTGCCACTCTTTTAGTCCAGTCTCCCTAAGGCCCTGGTGCCACTATTTTTTGTCCAGTCTCCCTAAGGCCTTTTACACCTGGTGTCACTCTTTTACTTCGGCGTGAAGCGATTTAGTGTCGGGGCATATAGCGGGGAAGGGGGAGGGGGGGGGGGGGGGTTGGTGGCCAAAACGTGGGGCATATAGCACGAGGGGGGGGGGGGGGCAAAACGTGGGGCGTATAGCGCGGGGGGGGGGGGAATGGCCATAACGTGGGGCATAGCGGGGGAGGGCAAAACGTGGGGCGTATAGCGTGGTGGATGGCCAAAACGTGGAGTTAAGTCGTTTCGATTATTCTAGTTACACCTTCTCCTCCCTGCTTCCCGCTATCTCCTACAAGAAGAATTTTAGCTCTTTTTGGGGTCGAAGATTCTCTCGCTTGCCCAGCGATTGTGTGGGTGAACTTTCAACTGCCACCACTGGGCATGTCCTCTGACGGATCGATGCGACAAGCTGACGATAAAATCACATCATCGATCTCACTACCACAGTCTACACGTGTTTTCATTGATTTATTAGTTGAACAAATATACGCGCTACCTGCATATTTGTGGGGTCTTTAAGAATAATAACTCACATTATATATATATATTATATATATATATATATATATATATATATATATATATATATATATATATATATGCATTTATATAAAATTTGCTACGTAATAGATGTATCAAATATACACACAATTTTCTGTTAGGTCGAAAATTTTAGGATAAGCTTCAAGCTTAAAGTTAGGTTTGGCTATACCAGGGGTCGGCAACCTGCGGCTCGCGAGCCGCATGCAGCTCTTTTGATATCAAGATGCGGCTCTCCAGCTCCTTGAACAAATACTAATAATCTTAATATAAAAATAAAATATTTGTAATAAAAAAAAATGTTAGTGGCTCTTTAAAACCAAGGAAATTTTGAAAATTGTAACTTTTGGCTCTTTCGCTTCAAAAGGTTTCCGACCCCTGGGCTATACTGATTCAACCTACTGATAATTAAATGTGTTGTGCGTGTTTAAAACGGAAGCAATACATAATTTATTACTTGTCCCTCCCTTATTTTCACGAAGACGATTTTCTTCTTGGTAAACTGAGCCACGCTGAAATACCGCAAGACGCAGAAAGGTGGAAATTAGTGACAAATTTTACAGGGAATTCCCGCACCTATTTCACACAATAAACCGATACTGGTCTTATAAATGTAACAGCTTTTTTTATAAAAACAAATACGTGTGGATCGAATGTTATCGTATAAAAACTGAAACTAAAAGCGTATTTGAAAAAAAAATTAGTTTATTGTTCTTGGTATTATATTTTTTAAAATCTCGTTCATTATCTGTTGGCTGCTAATATCTGACGAAGGCCTTCGGTCGAAGGTCAAAAGATTAGCTATCTTTGTGTTGTGTTTTTTCTATCTATTGTGGTTAAATCCTATTCATACATTAAATATACCCATGCTTTTCTTTAAAGTTAAATAAATAGTACAGGATTTACGTATAAGTTAAACAATCGATAGATTATAGCCTTATCAAGTCTAAATCCAGCCCGATATATAAATAGAGGTGAATTATCTATATTTTAAAGAACATATTTTTTTAAATTTATTTTTAGTGCATGTATGAATTTTTTTTATTATAAACGTTTTTCTAAAAAAAAGTTTGCTATGGATATTTTCAGTTTTATTTTCTCAATTTATTTATTAAGTAAAGAATCCCATAGAAGTAGTATGAAAAATGAAACAGCTGTTCGGCTGGGTAGACTTAAGCAAACTGCGTCGTATTTTCACGGTCCGTCGCACACGTCCCACTCATTCGGTACTTTCTGGGATTATCCCGTTCCATTGATTTCGTTTTGTTTCAATATAATTATTCCCGTCACGTGATCAACGTTTCTAAGTATAGAACTCTTATTCCACACGCTAAGAAAATTCGAAACTGTTTCAAGTCGTAGATTCTATCCAGTTCACAAAACTTGGATATTACCAAGAACATTTTTTTTTAAAAAACCCAAACCAACTCAGTCTCGTAAAGTTTTAAAAGGAATCTTCTTTTGTTTTCTTTACTAAAAAGATGCGATATTTTTTCTAAGGGAGAGTTACCGCGCCTTGCGTGACCGAGTTATTGATTTCTATTGGGTGACATTATGTGAGAGGGCGGAAGAAAAAAAACGCCAGACACGGCTGATTGCCGTTGCTATGGTAGCGGGGTAAATAACCTATGGGTCACAGTGATCGGGCACTAGGTACAGCGGTACAAATGAAGCGTGTGTTTTAGTTATTTAATGAAGGTGGAAATTAGGCGAAACTAGTGAATCAATCAAGAATTTCCAGTCGGTTTTAGTTTTATCACGTCGTTAGGCTAAAGTAGAGAGAAGGTTAGGGTTAGTGGAGGCTAAGCAGGTAGGATTAGCTTTCAAATAACAATTTATATGAATACAATAAACAAAAACGACGTCACACTGGGCCTTATTTGAGGGGGTCGGCGAGGTCGGGTCGGTAAAGCTGATGGTTGCTGAAAATTGCCGTGTTCGAACACCACCACCCTTCCCCCCCCTCCCTCCTACTGTCCCACATCGTAACAGATACAACGCGGCTGCTGAGTTACGCCCCTCTAATTCAAGTCTTCGCCTTTTATTTTTATTTTTAAATTTACATTAAGGTTAATACGTCCCATTTCTTCACCCTGGTACCAGTCAAGGTCATACCACCCCCATCCCCCTTCTTAAGGGTCACTCAAAAATGACGTCTCGACTTTTAACAACATTTTTAGCGTGGCATTTACGGACGACCCCCCCCCCTCCCCGGGTATCTTCTCACGTCACTAGGTTTCCCCCCCCCCCCCAGCAAGAAAGATGCAGATGATACCCCAGGGAGACAAACATGACCCAGCACCGCATCTAATGACGTGTCAACACAGTGGCCTACTGGTGGCAGGGAAATATTTGCAGAACGGCGGCAAACTCTTCACGTCCTACGCCATCATTCGTGGGGGGGGGGTAGTAGAGGCAATTACGTCGGCATATGTAGGTGGAGTTAGGACATTACCCTCACCCCCGTCAGAATCACCCTCCCCCCTTTAGAATCATTACCCCCTGTCATTAACCCCCTCCCATGATAATTACCCCCATCCTTTCCACTTTCCATGCAGAATAACCCTAACCCCAAATATGTAGGCGGAGCAAGGACATTACCACCCACCCCCTCGTCAAAATTACCCCCCCCCGAATCACACCCTGGTAATTCCCCCCCCCCCCCCCCTTTCCATGCAGAAGAACCCTAACCCCAAATCTATAGCTAACCTTTATAACCCCAACATCAACCCTAACCCCAACTCTAAACCTACTTCTAACCCTAACCCTGACCCTGACCCCAACACAATAGATTAGTTTAGAATCAAGTGGTGGGTTGAACCAGTTGACCAATGGCACAAGGACTTGTTCTTTACTTGTTCTTCATACAAGTTCTTTATACAAGTCCTATACACACCATAACAATTTCCATTTACAATTTTGTTCACCCAATTCATACATAAGCAAATTCCAAAGTGGCGAACATTATTTTGATACACTAGTTCTAAAGGCAAGTTTCAAACAGAAATTCATTTTATAAATCCATGTAAACAATTTGTACACATGTTTCTTATAAATACATAAATTGAACAAAAAAAAACTCGAAATAGTCCAGAACTTTTAAAAAATGATATTTTAAACGTGGGTAAGATTACTTTTCGTAGAGGTCCAAATTTGAGTCAACATGTGTCAATATTTGTGTGTTTAACAGCGGATCTTTTTTAAAAAAATGCGGCAGACGCTTTTTTTTTTAAAGAAAATCTTTTAGTTTCGACTATCTCCAGAAAGTGAACTATGTCCTTACTTAATATTCACATAAATCATATCATTCTTCCTTATCTATTTTTAGCCAGCGTTATCGCGTATCTCATTTGAAGAATTTTCATAGGCGGATCTAGAGGGGGGGGGGCATATGGGGAACACTATGCTCATCCCTTTTTGTTTTCCTAACTTGAATCAGGTACCCACCAGAGCTGGGTGGACTCAGGGACGTCATACAGACTCGAGACTGGGATCCGAACACGAGACTTTTGGGTTTGCAGTCGTAAGCTCTACCATTCGACCATACATTCAACACACACACACGCACTCACGCACCCACACAGTCGTCTAGTGCCGCCAATAGCTACTGTGCAGACCAGCGGTTCTTAATCTGGATTCGGCCGAACCCCAAGGGTTGGGTGAGTCAACCACAGGGGTTCGGCGAATGAGTCTCACGGGTTCGCCGGATGTCAAGACACCCCCCCCCCCCCACACACACACATATGATTGACGGTCAGTGAGGACGATACAAGTATGAAGAAGGGTTCAACGAATGCGCGTATGAAACTGGTGGGGTTGCTGTACCTACACAAATGTAAAGAACCACTGAAGTATGCCAAGATTCTAAAAATAGATAACAACACGGAGGCCGCTACAGAGCAGATTCCAGACACTTCTTGAAACTTCTTCCTTCTCCAAAACCGAACAAACTCTGATAACAGTTGTCTAAGAAAAAAACGAGTGATATGAAACATGTAATGTAGGCTAAATGTCCAGGTAACTAGACAACGTTCTCAGTTTCTTCCAGGTATCTCTTCGGGGGAGGGGTGGGGCTCCGACCCCCCCCCTCCCCGAAGAAAGTCCACCGCCACACCCTCTCCCCCGAACGAAATATAATTTATATAGAAAAAGTATACTTTTACAAGTGTCCGCCCGCACCCCCCCCCCCCCTCCCCGAAAATATCAAGTGCCCCACCCCCCAGGAGAAAAAAGTCTGGAAGAAACACTGAAAGTTCAGCTTGCTATAACAAAATGCACCCATATGTAAGTTTAATGATGTGGTTTCTATATCACTTGAAAACACTTCTAAAATGTGTAATTATAGTTTCCTTTATTTGTATGCGTGCATGTTGTAAAAACCTTCAAAACATTAATAACACAAAAAAAAAAATTCTTCATTCATATTTTTTTTCCTCATCCTAAAATTCCAACATCTAAAACCTTTTTTTTTTAAAGCCCGCTCTTTGCTCTTGTTTCCTACGGGGCGCTAACTTCCCTAAATGACGTCATTGTATTCACAAAACAACTTGTCGGGCCTGGTCTATCTTCCGTCGGACTTGGTTACAGGACAGGGTCAGGTCGGCGTGTTTCATCTGCAGACTCTCCAGCTTGCTGTTGAGCTCTGATGCCTCGTCCTTCTGACACTCGAAGTCCCGCAGTAAAGGCTCGTTACCCAGCAGGCCGCTGTTCTGACGCAGCTTCTGGTTGTCTATTCTTAGCGCGTCGCGTGCCTGCTTGGTACGGGAGAGAATATCGCGGCTCTGTGCAAGAAAAAAAGGTAACAAGAATGTTAGATAAGGAGTTTGGGGTATGGGGGGGGGGGGGGGGGGGTCATCAATTAGCATAATTTTTATCACCCCCCTCCCTTCCCCAATATCGTCATAAATAACAAGATCTACATTAAATAACCTCACATATTCTCGAAACATATTTTTGAGATTTCGTGTCCTTGTGTATGTATAATATAAACACAAGTAAAGTCACATTTGTTCAGCCCATTCCCCCACGAAGCACATAGTCATATATACCCCCCCCCCCCCCACACACACACACAGTGTGTAACTCCATTTATAAACGTGTCTTGAAAACGCTGGTAGGATAGTTACGAGGTTTTCTGCCGGTATCGCCATTTGATGTAGGGTTTGAGTTTGGTTAGGACTAGTTTAACAATAGGACCAGGTTAGGACTAGCGTAAGAATAGGACCATACTTAGGATAGAGGTTAGGATAACGTTATAAACATATACATATAATGCCACGAACACGTCCTGCTGAACACAATGACCGTCATATCACGAACACAATGGTCGTCATATCACGAACACAATGGTCGTCATATCACGAACACAATGGTCGTCCTAACACGAACACAATGGTCGTCATATCACGAACACAATGACCGCCATAACACGAACACAATGACCGTCATATCACGAACACAATGACCGCCATAACACGAACACAATGGTCGTCATATCACGAACACAATGGTCGTCATATCACGAACACAATGGTCGTCATATCACGAACACAATGGTCGTCATATCACGAACACAATGGTCGTCATATCACGAACACAATGACCGCCATAACACGAACACAATGGTCGTCATATCACGAACACAATGGTCGTCATATCACGAACACAATGACCGCCATAACACGAACACAATGGTCGTCATAACACGAACACAATGACCGCCATAACACGAACACAATGACCGCCATAACACGAACACAATGGTCGTCATATCACGAACACAATGACCGCCATAACACGAACACAATGGTCGTCATATCACGAACACAATGGTCGTCATATCACGAACACAATGGTCGTCATATCACGAACACAATGGTCGTCATATCACGAACACAATGGTCGTCATATCACGAACACAATGACCGCCATAACACGAACACAATGACCGCCATAACACGAACACAATGGTCGTCATATCACGAACACAATGACCGCCATAACACGAACACAATGGTCGTCATAACACGAACACAATGGTCGTCATATCACGAACACAATGACCGTCATAACACCAACACAATGACCGTCATAACACCAACACAATGACCGTCATAACACGAACACAATGACCGTCATATCGTCCTGACACCAACGGTCACATAACACCAACACAGTGACGGTCATATAACACGAACAAATTACCAAGTCACCGTTGTAGAATAGACAATGGGTTAAAATGATTAGTTCCGGGGCATAAAGACATAAACGGCATCACTACCCGTCCATCAACCTGCACGGAGCCGCAGGTTGCCTTTACGGACCGCAGGTTGCCTGTACGGAGCCGCAGGTTGCTTGTACGAGCCGCAGGTTGCCTGTACGGACCACAGTTTGCCTGTAAGGACCACAGTTTGCCTGTAAGGACCGCAGTTTGCCTGTAAGGACCGCAGGTTGCCTGTAAGGACCGCAGGTTGCCTTTACGTAGTGGCAGGTTGAAGAAACACTCAGTAGCTTTACCACTGGCAATGTAAATATGACTTTAACCAGCCTATAGTATACTAGGCATGCTGCCCAGCTTCGCTTAGGCTTTCGAAAACATTGAGAATTTGAATGCTTAATTAATTCGCCCGAAGGTCGGTCTACGACCTCAAGAGTTATGAAGAGGTTCCTCCGTGGACATTTTTTTTCGATTTATAGCTCATATAAGGTACCGGTCAGTCGAGGTCAGTTTTGACCCCCACATCGTAGACTTTTCGGCCAACCGGCCCCCGTGTTCTGTCGCACCAAGGCAAGATCATGCCAAATTTGAAGCGCCTGCGGCGCCGGGAAGTGCCCTATCGGACACCCGACAATCTAGATCTAGATCTAGATTCCTAAAAGAATTTTTTTTTAAAATTTAGCCCGAGCATAATAAAAAAGAATACATTAACCAAGTTGACTTGCTGTGTCTCGAACCCGCACCACCTGCGTGGTTTAATGTACACTAACATCTCCGCTATTTAGGCACCTTATAAAATACGGAGAATGAAACACGTATTTTAAAATCTTAACTTACGCGAATATGCCTATTCTTTCAAATTAATTTTTTATCCCAAATTAGCCAGTTCCAAACAAAGATTTTGTATAAAATAAATAAGTCTTGAAATAGTTTAGTCCTAATATAGACATTTATTTTTGGAATTGATTTTAGAGAAGTTAGAGTCTAAATCTAGATCTTAGCGTCTACGTCTAGATCTAGTTATTGCGTAGATTTAGATTTAGATTTAGTCTAGATCTAGAATCTCTAGATCTAGAATCCAAATACATAAAATAAATTTTATGAGTTTAGGCCGGAAAAATTGTATTGTATACATTTCATAGTGTACGTAGATCTAAATCAAATTTGAATGAAATAGTTCATTTCTTTTCATTCTTAACACGGCAGATGACGTCATTAGTTAATGTATAAGCAATAGTGACGTCACAGTTTTATGCGTTCTTTTTCACATATATTAATGCTTTTCCGGTTGCATAAATAATACTGTTTCTCTACATTCGAATACGCCTTAAATTTTTATTTTTCTTCTTTAAGTAAAATTGTGGTTATACATTTAAAACATCTAACATATTATTTTCAACAAAAGTCCGTAAAAAATTCTCGATATATCGCTGCCGTTTCTGACGTGATGTCCGGCGAAAATTTTTTGCGGACAGAGAAAGAGAGAGAGAGAGAGAGAGATGTGCGCACATTGGGCTTTTATAAATTAGGACTAGCTGCATCCCGTGCTCCGCCACGGTAAATCTTTTTAAATGTACAACTTTGGAACAGAACAAAACGAACAAAAACACAACCACAACACAACCACAACACAAACACAACCACAACACAACCACAACACAACACAACAACACAACCACAACGCAACCACAACACAACCACAACACAACCACAACACAACCACAACACAACACAACCACAACACAACACAACCACAACCACAACACAACCACAACACAACCACAACACAACCACAACACAACCACAACACAACCACAACACAACCACAACACAACCACAACACAACCACAAAACAACCTCAACACAACCACAAAACAACCACAAAACAACCACAGCCACAACATTAGAATCACCACCAAACAACACGCTTTTTTAGGCGTCCGCGCCCAAAGAGAGCCTTTATTTAAGTCACAAAAATAGATTCTACTCTATAACTTACAATAAAACAATGCAATGCAAATAAATGTACGGCAAGTGGTGTTTACTTTTATGGTTCTAAGAAAACACATTGGCAATGTAATTAGAATCACCACCGAAAAAACACGCTTTTCCCAGGCGTCCGCGCCCGTAGAGAGCCTTTTCAGCATTCTCTATACTATAATCCTAAAATTTCACCATCTGTTAACACCGAAAAACAAAAACAAAAAAATGTGATTTTGAGAGATCATAGACTAATTAGAAAATAATATAAATAATCTTAACATTTTTCTATTTTACTTATGAACCTTAACATATAATAATCAATGTGGAAGTAATAAAAAAATAACTTAAATTATTGAGAGTGAGTTAAATATTAAAAAAAAAATTTTCCCATACGTCCGCGCTCAGAGAGAGCCTTTCCAGTCTTCTCAAAAAGTCAAATTTTACCATCTGTTTTCATAACACCGAAAAACAAAAGCAAAAAGAAAGTGATTTTTGAGAAATCATAGACTAATTAGAAAATAATAATAAATAATATAAATAATCTTAACATTTTTCTCTTTTAATTATGAACCTTAACATGTAATAATCAATGCGGTAGTAATAAAAAAAAATTAACTTAGATATTGATGAGTTAAATATATTTTTAAATTACCTCCCTTGCAAAAAAATTACCAAACAAAAGTTGAATTAATTAGTTTTTTCGACCTACTTTCATGAAAATATATCCATTTTTTCTAAGAATATAAACGAAAATGATATTTAACATTGATTTTTTAAGTATGTTTTAGCCATTTTCGTGTATTTAATATTTTCTTTAAGTTATGCAAAAGAGTAAACACAGTGGCAATTATAAAATAGCGCTATGTGGCTATATAAACAAACCCTACTCTACTACTTATAATAAGACACTGCGGTGCACTGAAAAGCACAGCATGGTGCGTAGTTTACTTTTATAGTCCCAAAATCTATAGCGATGACGGACGGAAGGAAGGAAGGACACGCTCAGCCCGCTTATATTATAGATGCCCTAAACAGCGTTAAAACTAATTAAAAAATGGCAGTCGTGCACCCACGGAACTAATGAATTATTCACTCACAACCCGGCCCGCGCCGTACTAGGGGTTAGATAGAACGAAATATGCTTAAGGTGAAGGTGCTTATGCTGAAGGTGTACCATAGTACGCAGGGGAGTATATATTAGATAACGTTTTTTGTAGTGAAGGTTTCTGACCGAGTTCTTTCCTCGACGGTACATTTTCTTTAACAGTGGGTCGTCGGTACATTCCCTTTAGGTCGTCGGTACATTCCCTTTAGGTCGTCGGTACATTCCCTTTAACAGTGGGTCGTCGGTACATTCCCTTTAACAGTGGGTCGTCGGTACATTCCCTTTCACAGTGGGTCGTCGGTACTTTCCCTTTAACAGTGGGTCGTCGGTACATATTCTTTAACAGTGGGTCGTCTGTACATTCCCTTTAACAGTGGGTCGTCGGTACATTTTCTTTAACAGTGGGTCGTCTGTACATTCCCTTTAACAGTGGGTCGTCGGTACATTCCCTTCAACAGTGGGTCGTCTGTACATTCCCTTTAACAGTGGGTCGTCGGTACATTCCCTTTAACAGTGGGTCGTCGGTACATTCCATTTAACAGTGGGTCGTCGGTACATTCCCTTTAACAGTGGGTCGACGGTACATTCCCTTTAACAGTGGGTCGACGGTACATTCCCTTTAACAGTAGGTCGTCGGTACATTCCCTTAACAGTAGGTCGTCGGTACATTCCCTTTAACAGTGGGTCGTCGGTACATTCCCTTTAGGTCGTCGGTACATTCCCTTTAGGTCGTCGGTACATTCCCTTTAACAGTGGGTCGTCGGTACATTCCCTTTAACAGTGGGTCGTCGGTACATTCCATTTAACAGTGGGTCGTCGGTACATTCCCTTTAACAGTGGGTCGACGGTACATTCCCTTTAACAGTGGGTCGACGGTACATTCCCTTTAACAGTAGGTCGTCGGTACATTCCCTTAACAGTAGGTCGTCGGTACATTCCCTTTAACAGTGGGTCGTCGGTACATTCCCTTTAGGTCGTCGGTACATTCCCTTTAGGTCGTCGGTACATTCCCTTTAACAGTGGGTCGTCGGTACATTCCCTTTAACAGTGGGTCGTCGGTACATTCCCTTTAACAGTGGGTCGTCGGTACATTTTCTTTAACAGTGGGTCGTCGGTACATTCCCTTTAACAATGGGTCGTCGGTACATTCCCTTTAACAGTGGGTCGTCGGTACATTCCCTTAACAGTGGGTCGTCACGACGCAATACTAATAGGATTATTGGAACATATCCCCCCCCCCCCCCCAAAAACCTCCATTGACAGCTTGAAACATGATAAAGCCTAAGTCCCTTTGTTGGTCACACACGATACACGATTGTACCAAACAGTTGTTGCAGTCACTAGCGCAGTGGTTCTTAACTTGGATTCCATCAAACCCCAGGCAGTCTCAGGGGTTCCGCGGAAGACCAGACATACACACCCGACTCAAATTATTCACGATCGGATTTTGTCTGTGCGGACGATAGAACTATTATGAAGGGTTCGGTGAATGCGTACATGAAACTGGTGGGGTTCGGTACCCCCCAAAAGGTAAAGAACCACTGCACCATCGGGTTGATGCAGGAACGCAACAGATGTCTGGTAAAATAACACCGGGTAAAGGGCATCACATTTTTTAGGGGAGTTTGTTTTGGTTAAACAGTGGGCAGCAACTGCAGTTCAATGCCAGGCATCAAATGCCCTAGGTATGCCACTGTACTACCAACCCCAATGTACTAACTACGCCACTACCAGCAACCCCACTGTACTAACTACGCCACTACCACCAGCCCCACTGTACTAACTACGCCACTACCAGCAACCCAACTGTACTACGCCACTACCAGCAACCCCACTGTACTACGTCACTACCACCAACCCCACTGTACTACGTCACTACCACCAACCCCACTGTACTACGTCACTACCACCAACCCCACTGTACTAACTACGCCACTACTACCAACCCCACTGTACTAATTACGCCACTACTACCAACCCCACTGTACTAATTACGCCACTACTACCAACCCCACTGTACTAGCTACGCCACTACTACCAACCCCACTGTACTAATTACGCCACTACTACCAACCCCACTGTACTAATTACGCCACTACCACCAACCCCACTGTACTAATTACGCCACTACCACCAACCCCACTGTACTAGCTACGCCACTACTACCAACCCCACTGTACTAATTACGCCACTACTACCAACCCCATTGTACTAATTACGCCACTACTACCAACCCCACTGTACTAACCGCCACTACCACCAACCCCACTGTACCGCCACTACCACCAACCCCAGTGTACTAGGTCGAGATTGCCCCGTAAAACAGAGACATTAATCCGACACCAAACGTCCCTTCATATCCCGTACCTTGGTAACACTAAGAGTGAATAAGGACGTAAATTATGCCCAAACAAATGCCCCAACAAACTCCCCTCAAATGTCCACAAATTATGTCACAAAAAGAATGTAAATGTCTCTTTAAAAGACCCCACAAAAGCCCCTTATAAATGACTATACCTGTCGCACAAGTTCCACTACCAAACAAATGACCCTACAAATGCCCTTTCAAATGCCCCCTTAATTACCTATAGAAAAGTTTACAAATGCCCATCAAATACCCCAATCTGCTCCACAAATGCCCCAATATGCCCTACCATGCCCCCTAAATGCCGACCATAGTGCTCCTAGAAAAGCCCCCACCAAATGCCCATTAAAGTGCCCCACCAATGCCCCTACAAATGCCCACCAAAGTGCCCCACCAAATGCCCACCAAAGTGCCCCACCAAATTCCCACCAAAGTACCCCACCAAATGCCCACCAAAGTGCCCCCTACAGATGCCCACAAAATGCCCACTAAAGTGCCCCACCAAATGCCCACCAAAGTGCCCCACCAAAGTGCCAACCAAAGTGCCCTTACAGATGCCCACCAAAGTGCCCCTACAGATGCCCCTACCCTGGCAAGACTGGCCTCCACCTCCTGTAGCTCGTTGTTCTGGGCAGCGTTTGACCCTTGCACGAACTGCCCCTACAAATGCCCACCAAATGTCCACCAAAGTGCCCACCAAAGTGCCCACCAAAGTGCCCCCTACAGATGCCCCTACCCTGGCAAGACTGGCCTCCACCTCCTGTAGCTCGTTGTTCTGGGCAGCGTTTGACCCTTGCACGAACTGAAGCTTCTCCTTCAGGTGAGTCAGCACCTGCACGGTGCTAGTGATCTTCTTACGTAACTTCAACAGCTCCTGAAAACAAACAAAAAAATCGCAGACACTGTTATTGCAACAAGACTTTGTAACCTGTTATTGTGTCAACTCCATACAATAGGTTCTTGAAACCACGCTTTAAAATAGACGCCGTCACAACCCACTTTTTTTTATATCCGTAAAAAAAAAAAACCAAAAAAAAAAAAAAAACCGACGGCATACACGCAGACAGTTATTATCTGTGTATAATAAAACATATCTCTCTCATCTTCCCTGTGATTAAATATGATTTGTTATGTAAAATGACGTTTGCCTTGGTATTCAATGCGGGACTTACAGGAAGAGCTTCGTACCGACGTCATGTAGGGTTAAAGGCCGTCGTTTTCCAAGAACCCGCGATAATGAGGGGAGGGGGAGGGGGGGGGTGTCTAGTGCCAGGTCGCTACTGGCTATACGAGTGCTGTGTTTGTGTTGGAGACCCCCGTGGTATGCTCTACTTCCTCCACCAGATTGAGTTTTTCAGAAGTGGTTTTCAGCGGTGTTAGGTGGGGGGTGGGGGTGGGGGAGGGGGGCATGGTTTTGATATTAAAAGTGGCGGAATAGGAGGATATTTGAACTGGTTGTATAGGAGTTAGGATATTTAACTTGGTTGTATAGGTGTTAGGATATTTGAGCTGGTTGTATAGGAGTTAGGATATTTGAACTGGTTGTATAGGAGTTAGGATATTTGAACTGGTTTTATAGGAGTTAGGATATTTGAACTGGTTGTATAGGATTTGGGATATTTGAACTGGTTGTAGAGAAGTTAGGATATTTGAACTGGTTGTATAGGATTTGGGATATTTGAACTGGTTGTATAGGAGTTAGGATATTTGAACTGGTTGTGTAGGAGTTAGGATATTTGAACTGGTTGTATAGGAGTTAGGATATTTGAACTGGTTGTGTAGGAGTTAGGATATTTGAACTGGTTGTATAGGAGTTAGGATATTTGAACTGGTTGTATAGAAGTTAGGATATTTGAACTGGTTGTATAGAAGTTAGGATATTTGAACTGGTTGTATAAGAGTTAGGATATTTGAACTGGTGGTATAGGAGTAAGGATATTTGAACTGGTTGTATAAGAGTTAGGATATTTGAACAGGTTGTATACGAGTTAGGATATTTAATTTAACTGTATAGGAGCTTGTTATAGGAGCTAGTTAGGATATTTGGAGTGGCTGAATAACAGCTTGTTAGAATACAACACAGCAACTCACAAGACAGCTACAACAACGTTACCTACAACACAGCAACTCACAAGACAGCTACAACAACGCTACCTACAACACAGCAACTCACAAGACAGCTACAACAACGCTACCAACAACACAGCAACTCACAAGACAGCTACAACAACGCTACCTACAACACAGCAACTCACAAGACAGCTACAACACAGCTACCAACACCACAATTACATACAACACATGTACACACAACACAGGTACATACATACAGCTACCTACAACATAGCTACCGATAACACAACTACCTAAAGCTACCTACAACACAACATAGCTACCGACAACACAGAACAACACAGCTACATACAACATAGATGCAAACAACACAACTATCTACAACACAGCTACCTACAACCTCATAGCGCTTAAGCAAAAAAAAAAAAATCCTTCTTTGTAAAACAACATAGTCTCTAAAAAATCTACTACTCTTTGAACTTCAACAAACTCCACACTACAATCAACCATATCTTCTGTCACCTGAACTGTCTCAAAATTCTCTCCCTTATTTTTGTTCTACAGATAAAATCCAAACATTTTGTTCTCAGTGAGATCCCTTTAGACTCCACGCCGCTGGAGTGGCATAGATTTTATTTTCACTAAAAGACTCGTACACTCACTATAGTTGCCATTCATGTCAAGATTATCATTCTTTTTTAACACGGGCGCTTGTTTTTTTCCAATAGGTCGTGTCCCTTCAGTAGCATTGATCGATGTATTTTGCCAGTGAAAGTCAATGAAATTTTTCAAGTGAAAGTCGGTAAAGTTTTTCAAGGAAATATACAGCAGAGGGTTCTGGTAAAGAGTGCTAATAAAATGTTTACTGGTTCGTTGGGTGCTATCACGTGACTTCACTTCACGCGCCGTCTTTATTTTCCTATCCACCCTATTCTACTATATATATGCTACTATACCCACCATGTGCTACTATATACACTCTATGACTACTATACCCAATCTATGACTACTATATCCACTCTATGCCTACTATACCCACCCTGTATCTAACTTTAACCAAGCCTGTACCTAACTTAAACCAACCCTGTATCTAACTTAAACCAACCCTGTAAATACTTAAACCAACCCTGTACCTAACTTAAACCAACCCTGCACCTAACTTAAACCAACCCTGTGCCTACTTATACCAACCCTGTAACTAACTTAAACCAACCCTGTACCTACTTATACCAACCCTGTAACTAACTTAATCCAACCCTGTACCTACTTATACCAACCCTGTACCTAACTTAAACCAACCCTGTATCTGCTTATACCAACCCTGTAAATAACTTAAACCAACCCTGTACCTACTTATACCAACCCTGTACCTAACTTAAACCAACCCTGTATCTGCTTATACCAACCCTGTACCTACTTAAACCAACCCTGTACCTAAGTTAAACCAACCCTGTACCTACTTATACCAACCCTGTATCTACTTAAACCAACCCTGTACCTGCTTAAACCAACCCTGTATCTACTTAAACCAACCCTGCACCTAACTTATACCAACCCTGTACCTAACTTAAACCAACCCTATACCTACTTAAACCAACCCTGTACCAAACTTATACCAACCCTATACCTACTTAAACCAACCCTGTACCTACTTATACCAACCCTGTAACTAACTTAAACCAACCCTGTACCTACTTATACCAACCCTGTAACTAACTTAATCCAACCCTGTACCTACTTATACCAACCCTGTACCTAACTTAAACCAACCCTGTATCTGCTTATACCAACCCTGTAAATAACTTAAACCAACCCTGTACCTACTTATACCAACCCTGTACCTAACTTAAACCAACCCTGTACCTACTTAATCCAACCCTGTACCTAACTTAAACCAACCCTGTACCTACTTATATTAACCCTGCACCTAACTTAAACCAACCCTGTACCTACTTATATTAACCCTGTACCTAACCTAAACCAACCCCTACCTAACTTAAACCAACCCTGTACCTAACTTAAACCAACCCTGTACCTAACTTAAACCAACCCTGTACCTACTTATATTAACCCTGCACCTAACTTAAACCAACCCTGTACCTACTTATATTAACCCTGTACCTAACTTAAACCAACCCTGATCTGCTTATACCAACCCTGTAACTAACTTAATCCAACCCTGTATCTGCTTATACCAACCCTGTACCTAACTTAAACCAACCCTGTACCTAACTTAAACCAACCCTGTACCTACTTATACCAACCCTGTACCTACTTATATTAACCCTGCACCTAACTTAAACCAACCCTGTACCTAATTAAAACCAACCCTGTACCTACTTATACCAACCCTGTACCTAACTTAAACCAACCCTGTACCTAACTTAAACCAACCCTGTACCTACTTATAAAAACCCTGTACCTAACTTAAACCAACCCTGTACCTAAGTTAAACCAACCCTGTACCTAACTTGAACCAACCCTGTACCTAACTTAAACCAACCCTGTATCTACTTAAACCAACCCTGTACCTAACTTATAACTTAAACCAACCCTGTACCTACTTAATCCAACCCTGTACCTAACTTAAACCAACCCTGTACCTACTTATATTAACCCTGCACCTAACTTAAACCAACCCTGTACCTACTTATATTAACCCTGTACCTAACTTAAACCAACCCCTACCTAACTTAAACCAACCCTGTACATAACTTAAACCAACCCTGTACCTAACTTAAACCAACCCTGTACCTACTTATATTAACCCTGCACCTAACTTAAACCAACCCTGTACCTACTTATATTAACCCTGTACCTAACTTAAACCAACCCTGTACCTAACTTAAACCAACCCTGTATCTGCTTATACCAACCCTGTAACTAACTTAATCCAACCCTGTACCTACTTAAACCAACCCTGTACCTAACTTAAACCAACCCTGCACCTAAATTAAACCAACCCTGCACCTAACTTAAACCAACCCTGCACCTAACTTAAACCAACCCTGCACCTAACTTAAACCAACCCTGCACCTAACTTAAACCAACCCTGCACCTAACTTAAACCAACCCTGCACCTAACTTAAACCAACCCTGCACCTAACTTAAACCAACCCTGCACCTAACTTAAACCAACCCTGTACCTCACCTAAACCAACCCTGTACCTCACCTAAACCAACCCTGTACCTAACCTAAACCAACACTGTACCTAACTTAAACCAACCCTGTGTCTAACTTAAATCAACCCTGTACCTACTTATACAAACCCTGTACCTAACTTAAACCAACCCTGTATCTTGCTTCATCACTTCTGGCTATGCTAAAGCTAAACATCGCCCGTTCTACTCTAAACTTAAGCAACATTTACTCTAACCACTGTATGCCCATCTTGCTGTTTATTTATCTGTACCCATTTCCCAACCTGTTTTACTGAGAAACGGCGCACAGAAAAAAAAAATGGCTGAAACCAATTTTGAAATCGAAACAACTTTTGAAATTGTTTTTCCAAAAATTGTAAACAAAAAACAAAACAAAACAAACATCACACCAGAACACAGGGCGCCGTTGTTTACGTTGTGTTTCGGTTTTAGTTTTCCCGCCACGGTCAGATATTTTACGGTATTGTTGCTGGACGGTAGGGGACGTTTGCTGGACGGGGGGGGGGGGGGGGGGGAGACATTTGATGGACGGCCAGGGACATTTGCTGGACGGTCAGGGACATTTGCTGGACGGTCAGGGACATTTGCTGGACGGCCAGGGACATTTGCTGGACGGCTGGGGACATTTGCTGGACGGGGGACATTTGCTGGACGGTCTGAGACATTTGCTGGACGGTCAGGGACATTTGCTGGACGGCCAGGGACATTTGCTGGACGGTCAAGGACATTTGCTGGACGGGGGACATTTGCTGGACGGTCGGAGACATTTGCTGGACGGTCAGGGACATTTGCTGGACGGTCAGGGACATTTGCTGGACGGCCAGGGACATTTGCTGGACGGGGGACATTTGCTGGACGGTCGGAGACATTTGCTGGACGGTCAGGGACATTTGCTGGACGGTCAGGGACATTTGCTGGACGGCCAGGGACATTTGCTGGACGGGGGACATTTGCTGGACGGTCGGAGACATTTGCTGGACGGTCGGAGACATTTGCTGGACGGTCAGGGACATTTGCTGGACGGTCAGGGACATTTGCTGGACGGCCAGGGACATTTGCTGGACGGTCGGGGACATTTGATGGACGGCCAGGGACATTTGCTGGACGGTCAGGGACATTTGCTGGACGGTCAGGGACATTTGCTGGACGGCCAGGGACATTTGCTGGACGGGGGACATTTGCTGGACGGCCAGGGACATTTGCTGGACGGGGGACATTTGCTGGACGGTCAGGGACATTTGCTGGACGGCCAGGGACATTTGCTGGACGGCCAGGGACATTTGCTGGACGGGGGACATTTGCTGGACGGCCAGGGACATTTGCTGGACGGGGGACATTTGCTGGACGGTCAGGGACATTTGCTGGACGGCCAGGGACATTTGCTGGACGGCCAGGGACATTTGCTGGACGGCCAGGGACATTTGCTGGACGGTCAGGGACATTTGCTGGACGGCCAGGGACATTTGCTGGACGGCCAGGGACATTTGCTGGACGGTCAGGGACATTTGCTGGACGGTCAGGGACATTTGCTGGACGGCCAGGGACATTTGCTGGACGGCCAGGGACATTTGCTGGACGGTCAGGGACATTTGCTGGACGGTCAGGGACATTTGCTGGACGGCCAGGGACATTTGCTGGACGGGGGACATTTGCTGGACGGTCTGAGACATTTGCTGGACGGCCAGGGACATTTGCTGGACGGCCAGGGACATTTGCTACATGCCCACTGGTATTTGCGGTAGTATGAAAGCGATACGACAACACCCAAGCTAAGCCCTTAAGCCTGAGCCTTGCAATCAGCCTTTCCCTTAGCGATCGTACTATCTGCCATACCGACATATATCTTAGCCATTGTACGTTATACAACGGAATCTGCCATATCAACACAAATCTTAGCGATCGTACATTATATCGTTATCTGCCGTACATTTATACAGCATGATCAGCCATACCGACGTACATCTTAGGAATCGTAATCTATATAGGCCTATAACTATAACATTTCTAGGAATTATTCCCGAGACTCGACCTAGACTGGTACAACAAGATATTGTATATTAAAAAATTATTAAAGTATTTTATTACATCCCTTTAGAGAATCTATCTATCTATATATATAATTCTCTTCTGAGAGACGCTAGAAAACAAGCTGTAAGCGCGCCTTGCAGTCCCCTCTCTTCCTCTCTATCGCTACCACCCCCACCCCCTCCCCTCACATGGTCAGGTGAGCTGTGGTTCACGCTAAATGTTTACAAAACAATCGTAGAGCCGGGTTTGGTGACGGCTATTAGGGGCAGATAATTTAGTTTGAAACGATTTTAAACTTAGAAGAGGTAACTAAGAGGAGGCTGCTTTCACGGGGGGGGGGGGGGGGGGTGGGGGGAAGAAGGGGGGTTTAGTGTTTTAAAGCAAATATTTTCAGTGGCAGCATTGGTACTGTCGAATTCACAAATTATGAATTACTGAATAGCGGCGTATGATACACCGCGGGTCGGCTCGTATCACATAAAATCATTAGAAACACGTGCAAAGCCTTATCTTTATTTGACCGAAAATGATTAGATTTAGGGAGGAAATTGGAACAGCGACCAATAATGTCAGAAGTCCTCGGTGAATGGGAAGCTTAGACCTAGACCTATGTTTTGCGATGATCATGGGGAGTAATGATGATGATAGCGATTTGAAAGAAAAACGTAAAAGCTGGTGGAATCAGTGTGTTAAACCAACCTCTTAATAGCAGAATTTTTAGCAAAATAATTAGAATTTAAAGAACCATACCGTACTAAATATCATTTTTTTTAATAAGGCCTCTTTTCCTATGCAGACCTAATATACCAACCCCGTACCTAAGTTATACAAACCCTGTACCCCACTACCCTAAACGACCCCCTACACACCCACCCCGTGTGATATAACATACACGTGCTCCCATATATTTGAGTATATTTTGATGTGAGAGCCAAAAGTTTTCCCAACTCGGGAATTCAAAAAAAAACATCAACAGTTAGCCGATCAAAAGTAGGAATCGAATTCGTATTAAATGTGGTTAGTAAACATTTGTATTTGCCACGGGATCTCGTTTTTCTCCTTACAGTGCCGTTGTTCCCTTCCGGCTAAAAGTCTACCCGGATAATTCCCCGAAAAAAGACCAAATCAAGAGCCTGATTCCAGCTACAGAACAACCGGCAAGAAGTGCAATACATTGGCACCTATTGAAATTCTGGCAAGATTTTGCAACAAATTACAAGAAAGAAAAAAAAAATTGCCACGAATAGGGAACGGGTTTTGAAAGAATTTACTGGAAAATATTGAATCCGTCAAATATGAATTGCCTGTAAACATCCAACGGAGAGCATCGCACAATATTTTCGTCTAGAAGATTCTAGATGTGTTGAAAATGTGATCACCTTGTTTGTGACGTCAGTGACAGGTGGAAGGGGGGGGGGGGGGTAAATGAAACACAAGCCGACAGACAAATATAGGACATTTATACTCTTATATATATATTGTGATGGTGATGATTGAAACTTAGATAATATTTAGAAATAGATCAAAGAGGAAGAGAGAGGTAGAGAACTGTAGGATTTAAGTAGGAAGCCATTGGTCAAGTAGTTGGGAAGCCAATTGACCAGACACACCGTCAGGAGACAGGGTCAAAAGACAGGGTCAGAAGACAGCTTCACAAGACAGCATCACAAGACAGCGTCAGAAAACAGCATGAGAAGACAGGGTCAGAATACAGAGAACGGGTAGACTACACAGTTTACAAGTGGACAATTATCATGGAGTAGGCTAGTTAACAGTTGGAGTTTAGGGTCAGGTTCCAGTCGAAAAGTTTTTAGAAAATAGTGTTGTATACATCAAACAAACTTTGTTATTGTAGGATTTGGAACCTGTGTCAGTTATTATATTTTTACATTGGATAAATTATCAGGCGAAGGACAATGTATATATTTATATATAAACACATAAAATAAAATATACTTGTCTCCTGTTATGCACCATGTGGAAGGGGTGGGGGATGGAAAAGGGTGTGGCATTGAGTGACCCACGTAATTATCTGGGAATGTGTGTACATGTGGGAATTTGTGTACATGTGGGAATTTGTGTAAATGTGGGAATTTGTGTACATGTGGGAATTTGTGTACATGTGGGAATTTGTGTACCTGTGGGAATTTGTGTACATGTGGGAATTTGTGTACCTGTGGGAATTTGTGTACATGTGGGAATTTGTATACATGTGGGAATTTGTGTACATGTGGGAATTCGTGTACATGTGGGAATTTGTATACATGTGGGAATTTGTGTACATGTGGGAATTTGTGTACATGTGGGAATTTGTGTACCTGTGGGAATTTGTGTACATGTGGGAATTTGTGTACATGTGGGAATTTGTGTACATGTGGGAATTTGTGTACATGTGGGAATTTGTGTACATGTGGGAATTTGTGTACCTGTGGGAATTTGTGTACCTGTGGGAATTTGTGTACATGTGGGAATTTGTGTACCTGTGGGAATTTGTGTACATGTGGGAATTTGTATACATGTGGGAATTTGTGTACATGTGGGAATTTGTATACATGTGGGAATTTGTGTACATGTGGGAATTTGTGTACATGTGGGAATTTGTGTACATGTGGGAATTTGTGTACATGTGAGAATTTGTGTACCTGTGGGAATTTGTGTACCTGTGGGAATTTGTGTACCTGTGGGAATTTGTGTACCTGTGGGAATTTGTATACCTGTGGGAATTTGTATACATGTGGGAATTTGTATACCTGTGAGAAAAAAGAACATCAGAAGAAAGCAAGAGGTTGAAAGACAAAGTGCAGGATCCCATGAACGAGTAAGAGGGTTAGGGGTGTAATGGAAGAGAGAGAGCATGGGTAAGGGTCAGGAGCTAATTACCTCGTTTCTTTCCTCTATTTTCTCATTGTAGGTCTGGTTCTCAATCTTCAACTGTTCAAAGTCAATCAGGTGTAGACCATCAGCCAGTTCTTCCTATGGACCAGTCAGTCAAATGTTGTTTGATTAGTTTTTACAGCATGGAGGAAGTTATGGAGAGTTACTGTTAGGTTCAGATATAAAGTAGGGAAAATAATAATTGATAATGTTGCAAACATTAAATATATATTTAATGTTTGGGGGATATGAATGTATAATTTTTGAACATATATTTGCATACATATAAATAAATAAATAAATATATGTGTATATATATATATATATATATATATATATATATATATATATATATATATATATATATATATATATATATATATATATATATATATATATATATATATATATATATATATACATATATACATACATACATATATATATATATATATAGATATATTATATGTTTATCTATGTATACATTTTATGTGTATATAAATAGATATAAATATATGTGTGTGCATGTGTGTATATATATATGTGTGTATATATAATATTGTGGAGGTCTTATATAACATTATTATAACGTTCTTGTAGTAATTGTATGCATAACTTTTTGAGCTTTTAATGCACTGTAGATTTTTCAGCCAAAAATAAAATTATATTATATTATCAGCTCAACTAGATACAAATGAAGAGTAAAGGGAAGTAGCTCATCTAAAAAAATTATTTTACCTTCGACTTGAGTTGTTGTTCTTTCTTCTTCAGTTTGTTCTTTATCTTGATATTTTCTAATCTGACATTGACCACTTCCTGCTCTTTCTTGGCCTCATTGGCAATGTACTGCTCAATGTCCTGTGCCGAGGTGAAATTACAAACATTTTAACATGAGTTCAGCTTCAAACAATATTTTGTATGTGGTTTTGTTATAGTGAAATATCTGTTCTGCTAGTTTGTGTACTTAACTGAGTATATTAAAAGGAAAGGTTCATAAAACATTTTTCTTTCTAAAACTACAGCTTATCCAACTCTATGGAACTAGAATTGTGTAGCACTTAAAGCATGTGCTAAAGTCACAGGGAAAACTGATAATGAGTCAAACAAAAATATGCAACTATAATCAGAAAACTGCTGATTTACAGCTGAAAAGGATGTCAGATTTTGAAGAAATCTACTGGAGCATGACAAAAACTTGAACAGTTAAATAATCAAAGTGGCTTGTAATATACCATCACCTACACAGTATGATGGTAATGATGGTATAATCTGTAGTCTACATGTAACATACCATCACCTACATGGTATGGTTATATTGATGGTGTAGTCTGTGACCTATATGTAATGCACAATAACCTACATACTATGATAATATTAATGGCATGAGCTCAGCCTACCTTAGCTGGGATAGGCTTCCCACTCCTACCAAATATAGCATGTAGAGCAACGTGCTGTTTGAACTCCATAAATTTTCTTCTCTCCGTGTCAACCCGTTCTTTCTTCTCTTGGCATTTTTCTTTCAAATCTTCAATCTGACTTTGGAAGTTCAATTTTTCTATTGCATATTGGCGACGCAAATCTTCTAACTGTGCTGCAACACATAATTTTTAAAGTAGAGATGTACTTGAGACACCCAATGTTACAACAAAGAACAACGATTCTGCCACTCACCCAATGTTACAATTAAGAACACCAACTCCACCACTCACCCAATGTTACAACAAAGAACAACATCTCCACCACTCACCCAATGTTACAGCAAAGAACAACAACTCCACCACTCACCCAATGTAACAACAAAGAACAACAACTCCACCACTCACCCAATGTTACAACAAAGAACAACAACTCCGCCACTCACCCAATTTTACAACGAAGAACAACAACTCCGCCACTCACCCAATGTTACAACAAAGAACAACAACTCCGCCACTCACCCAATTTTACAACGAAGAACAACAACTCCGCCACTCACCCAATGTTACAACTAAGAACAACAACTCCGCCACTCACCCAATTTTACAACGAAGAACAACAACTCCGCCACTCACCCAATGTTACAACAAAGAACAACAACTCCGCCAGTCACCCAATGTTACAACGAAGAACAACAACTCCGCCACTCACCCAATTTTACAACTAAGAACCACAACTCCGTCACTCACCCAATGTTACAACAAAGAACAACAACTCCGCCACTCACCCATGTACTTGAGGTACCTCTGCTCCTGGTCCGCCACATTCTTATCTGTGTCCTGCCTCTCATCTGGTTTCTTCTTCCTGAAATATTCCCCAAGCTTGCCCTGTAGCACTGTGTTCTGTTGGACCAGCATTTCTCTCTCTGTCAGAGTTTCCTACAGCACACACGTCATTGGACATTAATTTGTTGGACATAAATTAATTGGGCATAATTTCATTGGACATTAATTTGTTGGACATAAATTAATTGGACATAATTTCATTGGACATAATTTCATAGGACATAAATTCATTGGACATAAATTCATTGGACATAAATTCATTGGACATAAATTCATTGGACATAAATTCATTGGACATAATTTCATTGGACATAAATTCATTGGACATAAATTCACTAGACATAAAATGATAAATTCATTGGACATTAATTCATTGGAAATTAACTCATTGGACATAAATTCATTGGACATAATTTCATTGGACATAATTTTATCAGACATAAATGTTTTTACATAAATTCTTTGGACATAAATTCAATGGACATAAATGCATTGGACATAAATAAATTGGACATAAATTCACTAGACATAAAATGATAAATTCATTGGACATAAATTCATTGGACATAATTTCATTGGACATAATTTTATCAGACATAAATGTTTTTGACATAAATTCTTTGGGCATAAATTCAATGGACATAAATTCATTGGACATAATTTCATTAAAATAGAAAATTGTTAAAACCACATTTTGCTTTTAGGTATCTCATTTGACATAATTTTATGTTGTTTGAAAAAACATTTTCCAATAAAAAAGATATACCTTTTTCATTATTTAATAAAAATCCAGCACTACATATTTCTTTAATCTTTACTAAATATTTAAAATACATATACATTTTTCATAAAACTAATACACTAAGCTTAGCCTTATTGAGGTAAATTAAAATTAATGACACCTATATAATTGCTCTTTGCTTCCATTTCCATCAACTTTCATTTACAATGTAGACTAGGCTAGAGGTCTGCAAATGAACCACCCATACAAATATACAAGATAAAACAGGGGCAGCTACTCACATAGTATTTCTCTATAAGCTCCTCCCTTTTCAGCTCTGGAAATCCTACCAGCTCAGGGCTTAGCTCCCTTTCCTCTGGGGCTTTCTCCTCTTCCTCTGTAGGTTCTGTTACATGTGTGCCTATACAAGTTTCACATACATAAAAATAAAACTATTTCAATACAACTAAAAAATATAAACATTCTACATGCCTGTACATTGTAAATAAAATATAATATTATAATTATATAAAGATCCTTCAGATATTCTATAAATTATGTAATATCTTGTATAACAGCAAAAGTATTTCTTGTTTGCTATATTCTATATTTTATTTTTTTTTTAAATAGTTCTTGGTCAAAACATTCTTTTTGGTCATTTCACAAACTGTCTTGGTGGAATATATATTTTTCCACCCACAATCATGGTGGAATATAAACTTTTTCCATCCACTGTCATGGTGGAATATAAACTTTTTCCATCCACTGTCATGGTGGAATATAAACTTTTTCCATCCACTGTCATGGTGGAATATAAACTTTTTCCACCCACAATCATGGTGGAATATAAACTTTTTCCATCCACTGTCATGGTGGAATATAAACTTTTTCCACCCACAATCATGGTGGAATATAAACTTTTTCCACCCACAATCATGGTGGAATATAAACTTTTTCCACCCACAATCACGGGGGAAAATAATCTTTTTCCACCCACAAAATAAACTTTTTCCACCCACTGTCATGGTGGAATATAAACTTTTTCCACCAACAATCATGGTGGAATGTTACCTTCGAGGTCTGGTGTTGTTGCCTTCAGCTCCTCCGTGTCAGGTGGAATTGATGGGAGGGTGGGGGAAACACCCCTGGACAGGTTTTCCCCAATGGTTTCCAAACTCGGTTCATTGGGCTCCTAGAAAATTGATCCGCATTTTTAAAAAACAGACTTCAGTAGTCACATGTGGTAGTGGTTTGGGGGGGGGGGGGGGGATAAAATGTGCGACAAAAAGTCAGAAAATAAAAAGAATTTTTTTTTTTTTTAAATTCCAACCATGGTTGTAAACTGATATCCAGGCAATTACATTTTTAGAGCATTGTTTTTAAATTGCAATGACTGATCTCTTCTTCTTCTTTGCTCTTAATTTTAGTGTTGGAAGGGATCCCCTCCAGCACAATTAAGTATATTTGTCAAACAAAAAATAACTCTACTATGTCTGCCCCAGTGAACTTTTTCCTTTTTTTTAAAAAAAAAACAGATCACACAACACTGTAGCCACATCAAAATTACCTAACTTTTTTTTAATTTTATTTGAGAGCACAATAAATTATCAAATTATTTTTTTCAAAGGGAGGGGGGGGGGTTGTTTTAGAATCAGTAGTTAAAAATCTATTGTTTACATTTGTATTTAGTACAAACACTGTAACCATGAACTATTGAGTTATCTCTAATGAGTCCTAGGTAAAGTAATACTAATTTTACGCAACTCCTTTTCTTTTCTTTTTTTTTCTACTCAAAAAACTTTGAAAAAAAAAACACAACAACTGACTTTGGGTGATAGCAATGTGACTGTGGCAGTTCTACTCAAAAAACTTTGAAAAAAAAAACACAACAACTGACTTTGGGTGATAGCAATGTGACTGTGGCAGTTCTACTCAAAAAACTTTGAAAAAAAAAAAAACACAACAACTGACTTTGGGTGATAGAAATGTGACTGTGGCAGTTCTACTCAAAAAACTTTGAAAAAAAAAACACAACAACTGACTTTGGGTGATAGCAATGTGACTGTGGCAGTTCTACTCAAAAAACTTAAAAAACACAACAACTGACTTTGGGAGATAGCAATGTGACTGTGGCAGTTAGCTACCTCATATCCAGCATCAGCACCACTTTCCTCTGCCTCTGCTGCTGCGTCTGCGTCTGCTTCTGCTTCTGCTTCTACTTCTACAACTTCCTCCTGTGTCTGCTCCCCCTCAGCTTCAGGTTCTTTTCCAATTTCTGCAGCAAAACATGTTTAATATTACAACTGAGTGAACAATGAATAAAAACAACATTAATGAAATATTCAGCTGTTCTATAAGTTAATTAGCCATATGAAAAATATAAGTGAAACTTGTCTAATTTAAATTTAGGAAAAGTAAGTATTTTAATTATATAATATATTATTTAGAGAGAAACTGGCTCAGTTCCTAGAGATCTTTGGTCAGCAATTTGTGAAGTGACAAGCTACTACTACTTTGCTTCTTTAACATTACTTTTAGCTATTTAGCTGTGATAAGTATATAGTTGAAAGCATTTCTTAAGTTCAATCTGGACAGTTGACCTCTTATTCAAATTATGATTTCTTCATCAAAATTTCTAGTTAATTGCATTTTTACACAAAAGTTCTCTAGCTAACAAGACTAAAATAATTAATTTAAGTACACTGCAGTTTATATTTAAAGGAAAAAAAAATAAACAAAATTAATAAACAAAACAAAATTTAAAAAAAAAACTTCAATGTCATATTTTTTTAAAAAACAGGACATTCCCAAGCTGAAGAAGGGAAATATCTTACCTTAGTTTTCATCAAAAATCTAAAATGTACTTGTTATTTTTATTTATTTCATGCTAATACAACTAGGTTGATGTAAAGTTTAGACAGCACCTAATTTTTTACTAACATGAGAATCCAAGTGCTAACTAAAGGGTATCAAATTGATTCTATCATAATATTGACAACAGGCACAATCAACAAGAAAGTGCTTTTAATAAGATCTTTAATACTAAGTTTTATTTTTAAAATGTTAATGTTTTATTAAAAAATGATACGCAAATGTTTATTTTGAGGCTAAATTAAATAGTTGTCATCAAAATGCTAATAGCCTTGTTCATTTGCTAAACGACCCTAAGTAAATTTAAAGCCTGCCAAAAAATTGAAGATTTCAAGTTTATAATATTTTTCAAGATAAAGGATTATTAATTGGAAATAACTGAAGCAGTTTTCACTGCTGAGGAATGCAGACATTTCAGCAACATTCATTGAATGATTTCATAAGTTATGTGAATACTGGAACATTTATGATAAAATCATTGTATTTTAAATGTGACTAAAACTATCTTTAGTGACTTAATAATTAAAAAAAAAAGAAAATAAACCTTCTTCTGAAGGTGGCATTATTTCCCCTGATTGTCCCTCTTCAGCTTGTGTTGTCAAACCAAGGTTCTCTGTTTCATGTCTGTCTGTTTCATTGTCTCCAGCTGTCTCATATCCTGCCATCTCTGGCTGAACTGTATCAACATTCTCAACACTAGGATCAACAGGATCAACAGGCTGCAGTGAAGAATCAGCCCTAGTTACCCCACCTTGGTCTGTATCCTCTTCTCTCACTGCCTCGTCTTCTCCTCCCTCTGCTGGTACCTCATTATCTTCCTCATTGACAACTTCCTCTTTTCCTTCTTCCGCGGGTTCATCTGTATATAAAAAAAAATTATAAATAAAAACATAGTTTTAGAAGGCACACTCTCTCCCTTTTCCAAAATCTATCAGAATGATAGTTTTACTGTAATTCCACTCAGCAAATATGAAAATTTAGAACCATAGTATGAGGTCGTTGTGGTTGGGTTGGGTAAAGCTCATGATTTCTAAACTGAAAAGTCCAGAGTTCGAACTCGTAGAGAAATGAGGCTCAATATATGGGGAAAGAAACCCATCTTGGAGAAAAACTCCAAAATCAAACAACTGCTGCCTTGTAGTTTGTTCTTGGTTGGACAAAGGCTATAGAAGCAAAATCCGAAAACAAAAGCAGGCTGAGATTGGTGTCAACTAGCCATATGGTGCATAACTTGTTGACAGATAATATGTAATTGTGTTGGAGGAAATCCAGTCCAACTTTACAATTAAGAATGAAGAAGAAGAAGAAAAAGAACCATTGTTTAAGAAACTTGGTCTAGTAGAAGCACACATGCCTGCTAACTTAAAAGTCATGGGTTCAGTGCCCAGGCCCAAGAATGAAGGCTGTGGGTCATCGTTTGACCAAACTGCCTTTCATATCCAAACTATCATCCACTGGTCTAGAGGCTAGCAACATGAGTGAGAGAAAAAATTGATTCTTCCGTCTATTGCAGTTTGTCTGGGTAATGAGCATTGCTTGAGCTTGTAGTGCTCAGTTAAATGAGAAAGAGAGACAGAGAGACCTTATGTGTGGTTAAGTGGTGAATCATACATGATTGATTATACTAAAACCCCAGTTTTTTTTAGCTCTAACCCATATGATATTCCTGGGTCTATCCAGATCTGATATATAACTGACATCAGGCATTGGAAAGTAAAAGGGGATGTGCATAGATCAAACCACACAATCTCTACACAGGACAAGTTAAAAGAAACAACTTCATCTGCTAATAGAAACATCAAGCCTAAAAAGAGCACAACATTTAATTTATGCTCATTTATTTGAAGCTGGAGAAAAAATGCAGTGAAAATCTACCCTTCAACTCGTATGAATGCAGTGAATTTAATTAGTATTTTGCAGACTTAGATTAAAAAGAAAAATCTGTACCATGAGAAATCATACTTTTTTTTATACTGATGTATGAGTGGTACTTGATGTCTACACCAAGGACAGTAACCAAGCATCAGACAATGATAAGTTTATAGAGGGTAGGAAGACAGACTGAGATGCAGGTTTAAGACACATGTTGGTGTTACAGTATTTTAGGGGCATACTACACATGCAATTACCCTTGAATAGCAAGACAGTATGGCAGTTAGTTTATTCGACACACATGTTGGAGCTATAGTCTTTTAGATGCACACCACAAGGGCATTCCAGTTGAAGAGACTACTACAATGTATAGCAATAAGTATTAATTAATTAAAGTAAGTTGTCCTTTTGAAATCAGCATATAGAAAAAAATAGTGTAATTGATTATACAATTAATAAGGTTTTTAAAATCTTTGTCTTGTATTGTACTGAACTCTGAAACATTACAATATTCTCAATGACCTTCAGGGGGTTCCTCGTTTACTTTTTCAGCAGTAGCTTCTTCTTCTTCTGCAACATCTTCTGGTGCTTTCTCTTGATCTACATCAAATTCCTTTTCTTCAGCTTTTTCAGTTTCTTCATTTCCACCTTCATCAGACTGCTCTTCCACACGTGTCTCTTCTTCAGTTTCAGTTTCTACAACATCAGCCTCATCCTTTAAAACAAAATTGAAATTCTTTTTTTTAAATATTAACTTTTATTATATTAAGCTTTTAAGTACTGTTAGTAGTCTTAGCTTTATCCACATGGTATAGTCTTTGTACAGACTTAGGTTTGACAGTAAAAGTCGATCTTACTTCTTCTATGTTACTATTATGATACAGCTATCCAGACAATTACAAAAGAATATATTAAAATTTTATTTTTCAGCTCTTTTTATTTAAAATCTGGCAGCTGATACATACAATATTCTTGTATCATATCTTTTGCCAGTATCCTTGTCGGGGTCAGTGACTAGAGTTTGGTTATTGCTTTGTTGTATGATTGTTGTTAGGGGTCATCCAAAAATGACGTCACGCTTTTTTTGACGATTTTTACCTCCCCCCCTCCCCTCTGTCACACTTCGTCACAAAAAGCCAGACCCCCCCCCCCTAAAATGACTTCACACCTCAACCTACAACCCCCCTCAAAATTGCAGTTGAATTTTTTTTAAACATTGATATTTCCCCAAAATCTTGTCTAAACTATTGCAATTTATTAAAACAGTTATCTAAAATGCGAAATAACGTCTAAAATTCGTTTTCTAACATTGCTTTTTTATAATGCAAAAATGTGACGTCGCAACATCTGACCCCCCCTCCCCCTCATCACACATCGTCACAAAATTATGGACCCCCCCTCCCCCCTACGAGTGTGACGTCATTTATGGATGACCCCTTAGGGTATTGTAGCAAGGGTTTTTTTTTCAAAGCATTAGGCAGTTTTAGATGTTGGGTGACAGATCATCCAGAACTATATCAGACAAAGTTCTTATCATTTAGTATACTAGTATAGTAATAGCCGTAGGTAGGATAGATTTGGTAGTTTTAGTCACTAAAATTTATTAGTGATTTGGATTAGGGCTAGTTTAGGTTATGGCGAAAAGGAGTTATAATAGTTATATAATATAAGCTAATGAAAAGTGAGTATTAGTGAGTGACAGTTGGACATTTATATTTATTACATAATACAACACAGTGAAGACAAAAGTTTAGATTAAGTTTAAATAAAGCACAAGAGTGTAGTACTTGTGTCTCGGTGTCAGCCATGTTTGTTGTCCTTAGAAACAAAAACAGATAATTTTGGTCGCACTAATTACTGGATACTGTTAAATCGTTCCAAAAAATTATTATTACTTTAATTTTTTTGTACCAATTACAGCTGTTTAAAAAAACAACTATGTGACCATGTGACTTTATATTTCTGACAATTACGTTATCAAATGGAAACTGACTAACTTATGATTGAATGCGACACGTGCATCAGTATACTACTTAGAGTCGTTTGACGCGTAAACAGGGTGGGTTTTTTTATATTCTTTAGTCTTTAGCGATTGATTAGCAGCAGAAAAAAGTTTACCGCCCCGCCCCCCGAACAAAATGGAATTTATATAGAAAAAATATACTTTTAACAGCATCCGCCCCCCCCCCCCCCCGAAAATTCCAAGCACCCCCCCCCCCCCCCCCCCGAGAAAAAAGTCTAGAAGAAATACTGACAAGCAAGAAGGGGAAGGATGTTACGTACATTACATCACACTTTAACACTTTAAAGTGGAATCCAGAGGTAACCCATTTCGGCGCCCGGGACAAACTATCACTTAGGTGGCACTTCAGGGCTACAGAAATGTTTTTTTTTTATTAAATATTTTAAATACTTTTTTAAAAATATATATTACAATCGTGTAGAAAAAATAATTGTTCACCAAAATGAACGCAAGCAGAGTGAGTATACAGATAAAGTTTAATAGAGCTGAAAATTAGCACTTTAGAAAGAAAACATTGATCACCGGAAATCACTTAAAATTTAATAGAAATCAGTTGATAAAATAATATACCTAAGTAATACATTTTTGCGTCCAGCTAACTGGTGTTTGCCATTTAAGTCTATTTAGGAACTCGAAATAGAGAAAGTACCACTTCTAAAAGATGGGGGGGGGGGAATACTAATTTGATATATTACTTATTCATGAAATTTGGTCAACATAACTGTAATGGAACTCAAATTATCGTGTTTTTGGCGCTGTTGTGGTCCATGGGAAAAACAGAAGATGTGGAGACTAAAAAATCTTGGAGACAATAGATCGAAAGAGATATTGGAGGGGGCTGTATTGTCAAAGTTTGAGCATATGATCCGTAGGGAGCCGAGAGGAATAGTAAGAAGAAAATCAGAAGTTAAGAGGGTCCCGTACGTAGAAGCTGCAACCAATATATTACAGAGAAGCCTGACAGTAACACTGTTAGAGTTGCTTATTGTATTGGGCCAGCGGAGCGTTTGCATCTTTTTTTATAACGTAGTACACTGCTAACTTAAAAAAAAAGAATTGATAATAAACTCACTCGGAGTTCATATTATTACCGGTATTTACCCTATACTAATAATTATCAAAATTAAACTTCGCTTTTTTAACAAATACCGGAAATACTATTTTCTATTTCGATTTATAACTATTACTCAGCATTTTTAGTAAAATACTAGTTAGGACTAAATAATAATACATTCATAGACAGTGATTAAGTTTAGGACACAGACATATCAAAGGATAATGGCATCTTATTTTGATGAACATAATTGTCAGCCATTAGAAGAAGGACAAACACCTAATCATGCACTTCATTTAGCTAGGTATTTTTTTAAAATAATTAATTTTAATTATAATTTTAGGTTTAGGCCTATAAATTTAAATAAATAAATAATTTTTTTAAATTATAATAATTAGCCTAGGCCCTATTAATTAATAATTATTAATTAGGCCTAATATTGTTAATTTTGGTAATCTAGGTTTTGAAAAATACAAAAATGTTTCCTTGTTTTTAATTTATGTAGTTATGTACTGTAGGCCTACCTCTTTATAAAGAATTGAATTAAAACTTTCCAGTAATAAATGATAGATTACCTTAATTTTTTATTAATCTAGATCTAGTAAACTTTAAACTTAAGTAATATAAGTATAGTATACTATAGATTATAGAATAGATCATAGAGATTGTCTTATGGCATGAAAAGCAGAACTCAGTGGCTGGCATTGCTAGGTCTTGTCACTGTGTCACCTGGTGCGGTACCTTGTGGTGTCATTCCCCTAGGCTAAAAGAATATATATAAATGTACAGGGATGGCATGGCCTAGCGGTAGCGCACTAGACTGCTAACCTGAGAGTTTCAACTTTGAATCCGGGTTCAAATTAGTAGAACGTCTCTGAGTCCACCCAGCTCTGATGGGTACCTAACACACGTTAAGGAAAATTAAGCCGGCTTTGCATAGTGGCGACCACACCATCACTTCATATGCTGAGGTCACTGTGTCCTGTATAGCGGGTAGGGCATACTACTATAGTCAGTGGTAAAATTACAACAGACACAGTCGCTGGCTCACCGGCAATTGTGTGACCCGAAGCAGCTTTGGCTCTTCAGTGAGCAGTATGGCATCGTCGTTCATTTTAAGAAATTTTATGGGTAACAATAATTGTTGACTATATCAAATCAGGCGCGTCCTAGATGCACAGTCAGGGGTCGATTTGGCGTCACGGGCTATCCTATGAGCGCTATGGTGCATATGTTTGTTTTAAAGAGCAGGATAGAATATAGATAAGATGTAGTATTATTGTCATTTATTAAATTGAATCAAGCGCTTCCTCCAGCGCCTTGACAGTGTGCATTTTGGTGCCTGGGCTATCCTTCTATCCTTTGAGAAATATGGTGCCTACGTTATTTTTAAGGAGTACCCTGCAATATTGACACAGTAGCACACGACATTTGATGATTAAACAAAACCAGGGGCCATACGCTTCGCCCCTGCAGTAGTGTAGCCAGGGACTCCGGAGAGCACCCCTCTACATCCCTGACACCTGGGAGGTCTCTGAAGTGAGTGTTTAATGTACACTCAAGGCTTTTATTCAGACATGGGGAATGCTGGGCGGTAATGTGGACAAACCTGTGCCGCGACAAGTTTGATTACAAAATATAGCGCAGGAATTGTTTACGTTCAAATAATTCAGTTATAGGAAACAAGGTCGCGCGTCTAATAAAATAGGATTGGTAAGATGTGATGAAACCCTCTTAAAAAATTATGTCAAACTTTCTTCTGAGACCACTGCAATGCACCGACGAGCATGCTAGTAGTATATGAAAATAGGCTTCTATATTATTTATATGCTAACATACCGTCCCTCAAATTGCTGCAATACTTGAAGATGATTTTATTAATGTGTTACAAATGATGTATCTTTTGATGTGTTTAAATGTAAATAATGCTGACACTATTTTTCTTGGACCTAAGTTGTTATACTGTGGGTTTGCCCACGCTACCCCGGGGTGTGCTGTATGAAAATCTTGAGTGTACGTTAGTCATTCTCTGTAATAGTGAGTTAGACACCCCTTGGCAATTGCCAATGTATCAGGAGCATTGCTAGACACTCTCAGGAGCCAACAGTTACACTACAGCAGAAGCACCGGGTATGGCCCCTGTTCTGGTTTAATCATCAAATGACATATTATACCACTGTATCGCTATTGTATGGGGCTCTTTAAAATTTAAGTGCCGTAGTGAAAGATACATATTCATAGTGCATAGCACTCTTTAAAATGAACATAGGTGCCATAATGCTCATGAGGGAGCCCATGTTACCAAATTGCACACTACCCCTCTCACCTGTCTCACATCGATAGGTCCCTTTAGTATTTGTAATCTAGTATTCCAGTATTTGTGGCTGAATGGTAAAGCACTGCTACCCCAAAAGTGTCAAGTTCAGATCCCGAGCTTGAGTCTGTACGACGTTCCTGAGCCCACCCAACTTGAATGGGTACCTGACTCATGTTAGGGAACAAGGTGGCTGATCATAGTGCTGACCACACTATCCACTTGTATGCCGAGGTCATTGAAACAGATAACTCTACTTCTTCTGCCCTATGTATCTTGTGCACAATCCTTTTTTACTTTTACAATCCTCTTTAGCCCAATTAATTACTTTGAGAGCGGTATAGTGCAGATCCTAACATTTCTATTTTGCAATTAATTACAATTTGAAACAATAAACAATGTTCAACACATTACCATTAGTGAAAAGGCACAATTGTTTTATTTTTCTTATAGCAACATGGTTATGCAATTAAAATGTAAACAAACTAACTAGCTGACATTCAATGGTAAATATTTTTTTTTAAACATTTTTCTAGACTTTTGCTAGACACTGGGTTTGCTGCAGAATGGGATATAGAGTTCAATAGGTTTTTTGGAAGTGATGGAAGAGCACCACCAGCTTCCAAGGAATTTGTTGATAAACTTCCAACCCATTCAGTCACACCAACTGTAGCAGGTATTGAAATTAACTTTATCACTACAAGTTCTGTGTTTTTAATGTGCCATTGCATAATTTTTTGGTTTACTTTCTAATGTCAATTCCAAAGGGACTGAACTCTGCTTTTAATTTTACCTGGCTTTTTCACACAGTGGTATAGTATAACCACTATCTTAATATTCACAAATTACATGGCAAAATAAAGGCAGCCCACTTTGTAAACAGATACTGCTCATCTATACTTGGCCTATTTGAAAAAATTGAAATGAAAAATGAAATTAATTTTTTAAAGTATTTTTAAATAAACTGTCAATTTATTTTGATAAATAGATATATCTACATTTATTTTTCATTTACCCTTTTTTTTTGTAGCACAAGGAATAAAGTGTCCTGTCTGTTTGATGGAATTTGATGAAGATGATGAAACTAAAGTTCTCCCATGCAACCATCAATTTCACTGTGCCTGTATATTGCCGTGGCTAGGAAAAGTAATCCAGTGAATTCACATGTTTGACCATTAAATTCCTATGATTTAACTTAAGCCATGTTAACTTCTCTTGTTGTATAATATATAGCCATTATCAATGACATGTTTTCACTTAGCTTGACACAGACCAAATTGTTTGTTTAAATTTCCAGGTGAATTCTTGCCCCATGTGTCGTCAGGAATATCCAACAGATGACCCACAGTATGAAGAATATAAAAAACATAAGGTTCTGTATTTTATACGAATTCAGTTGCTCAGCTTTTGTGAATTTAAATAACTCTACTATGTAATCAAACAGTCAAATGCTTGTAGTTTAACTAATTTTATCAAGCCAAAATTTATTTTTTTATTATGGTTAAACATAGGAGCCGTATTATTTCCTTAATCCATTTCAAGTGCTAAGGTACTTAATGTTTATGGCTGGAGGCATAAAAAATATGTTTTAACTGATATGACTGATGAAATCAACATTTCTTTTTCTTGAATTTAACTTAAGTCTTTTCAGCTGCTTTATCTCTTATCAGTTTCATAAATAAAAAAATACAAAGCAAGGGAAATAATAAATTTATTGCCAAACTGATGTCAGCTATCTCCAGCCAACTTATCTGTAACAGAATAGATTTATACAATGGCAGTGTTGTTGCTAAAGCATGTTTTCTTCAAATGCACAAAGAATTATTACTACATGGTTTAACATAGTTAAACTCATGAAACATTTCTTAGTGGGTGAAAGTTTCATGGCTAACCATGAATAACAATTAATCATCTAATGTGAGCTACTGTAATATTTGCTGTTGGTACATATCACATTTAAACAACTATTTCATCCCAGTATTTAAATTGCATTTGATTTTTAAAAATATTTTGTTCAACTTTTTATGTGAAAATGGCAAATTGGTTACCTTTGAAGTTTTAATTCTGAAAATGCATTTACACTTGAGCTACCAGGGCAAAAACTGACTAAGTTCAGTAGGAAAATTGTTTTCATTCGTCCTTTTTGCTAGGGTTTTTCCTCTTAAAATTAAGTGTAAACACTGTGAATATGCATAAATTGCATTTAAAGAGGATAATTTAAATATTACCTGCATAACTGATATACTACCCTATATGACCAATTTAAGTATTGTCATCTTTATTTCCAGGCCAGAGCAAAACAGAGAGAATTTGAATTAAGCAATCTACATGACTCGATGTTTGGATAGAAATTTTCAGTGTGCATGTAATTTTATGCAACATTTGTAATTTTAAAAAGTGGAAGACCCAGTGGCTAAACAGATTGAAATTTTCATGTGTAACAATTCACATTTCTCAGTAAGGGGGCTAATAATATTCAAACACTGTTAGATAAGCTGAACCAATAGCATTTGCTTTTTTTCACTTGACAGATCACAATGTTCACAGGTGGGTTTGTAGTCAAATTAAACCAAATTTTAACCCACTTCTGATATTGAAAGACATTAAACTTTCAATCTTGTTAGATAGTCCAGAATTAAACTACCTAGTCAAAATCATGACTTGGACGAACCATGTTCTTATGACTTGATGTCAGTTTTGCAAGAAAAAGATTAGGCTTTAGATCATGTTATTCATGTATGGTGTTAACTTATTAAAAAATGCAAAGAATAAATAATTGTGTTAATGTCTTGGTTCTTAAAATAGTCATTACTAAAATTGAGAAACCCAAGATAAACTATAATTTTTTCGATGCACTTTTTGTCTTGCCCAAGTGTTTTTCTTCTTCGTTCTTAATTTTTAGTGTTGGAGGGGGTCGAGCCTTATCTGCCAGAGGGTTTGAACTAGAGACTTTTTCGAACTTATTAACCATTAGCTTTAGCCAACTTGACCACGCCTCCATCACAATTAAGGATACATGTCAACTGGTTATGCGCTGTTGACTCCGATTTCAGCCTTCTTTTCTTTCTGGATTCGCTTCCATTCATAGCCTTTGTCCAACCAAGAACAAACTACAAGGCAGCAGTTGTTTGATTTTGGAGTTGTCTCTCCTAGAAAAGTTGCTGTCCCCAGCTAACGAGCCTCATCTGCCCGTGGGTTCGAACTCGAGACTTTTCGGTTTAGCAACCATAAGCTTTACAGATTCGACCACACCAACCCCCCCCCCCCCCCCAATTGTTTATAACTTTCAAAATCTTTAAAAAGTATTTGTGCACTAGTAAAGTAAAATTCACTTTCCCAACCTGACGGTCTATACGACAAGTGAAGTAGACTTCACTTGTTTCTGTGACCTTAGCATATAAAGAGATTGTGTGGTCAGCATTACGTCCAGCCGCCTTTACTTTCCCTAATTGGGTTAGGTACCCATCAGAGTTGGGCGGACTCTGGGACGGTCTACTGGCTTGAACCCGGATTCAAACTGGGGACTAAGCAGTCCAGCTCTCTACCGCTAAACCACTCAGTCCCCTATTTGTGCACTTAACAAGCTAATTTCTTATTAATATACAAGTGGCCGAGGTGTGACACTTTCAACTTGTTTGGTATTCCTTTATTTTTACATTCCATGAACATTAAGTAAAATAGTTTTCAATTTCACAGCAGGTACAATCAGCTCTCATCCTTAAGTCTTAAACATCACAACCCTTGGATTAATGGTTTAACTGAATTATCTCTACAATAAGTTATAACAGCAACTACACCTAATTGAACTAACTATATACAAGTATTTACAGAATTCAAAAGAAAGACTATTTAAAAAAGATGGCCTTTTAATACAGTAAAACATATAGAAATGAAAATGACATAAAATGATGTGATAAAAATCCACAAAATCTATCTGGACAAGGACAAGATCTACACCAACTCTTATGTTCAATAATCTGAAAATAAATAAAATTAAAAAAATTGTTAAAAAAGATGTCATAATGAAATACTGCAACAAAGATCAGTGAAGATAATACTTTAAAAAGCAGTTGTCAATAACAGACCAAAAAAAACTGGCACTGTAAAAACTGTTCTGTTTATACAAGGAAAAAATACAGACATTAGCAAATCATGAGAACGATAATGAATTGACAATAGACAAAAAGAACAAACAAAAGTACTGCTAGATAACGTCCCACTGCAATAAAATCACATGAACTACCAAAAGCACACAGGTGGTGAATTCAGAAAGAAGCCTGAATCTTGTTTACATAGTCAGTGCAACTATCACTGCTTACAATCAAAATCAGATAAGTAAAAAGGCTGACAAGTTTCAAGATGGGAGAGCTAAGTCCAGCACTTGTCTTGAAAAGAGCCCTTTACAACAGAATCACTTCAACTGACACCTATGTGCAATCCACTACGCTACACACAGCACCTATGTTGATAACAGTGCAGTTATCCTAAAAAATATCTTGGACAATCTTTTTATCACTGTACTCAACAAAGGCAAAAGAAGTGACAGGGGCAGTTAACAATAAAGAATATTAGAAATATCTACCCTGCCTAGCGATTGTAAGGATGATAGCCTCCATGAGCTGCGCCTCTCTTTTGCGCTTTACCGTAATTTGACTGACCTGTCAAAGAAATCAAGAAACCGTTATTTTTTTTTTGTTTTACATTTAACCAAAATATGCACATCCAAAATGGTAATAGGAAATTTAGTTTTTTTTTAATTTTAAAATCTGAATAAAACCCCATATAGGGAAACTACTGATAGCGAAAATATTTAGTTTAACCGAGATACATCTAACAACACTGAACAACAAAAATCCTAACTACTAGTGATTTTATTACAGCAAGGACGCAACTAGCAGCTCTTTGAAGACACCATGAAAGAGGAAAAAGAAACAACCCAGACAGAGAGAGAAAGAATGAATAATGTGCACTAATGTATCCGAATCTTTCTGTGGTTCTTGATGAAAGCTGATTCAACAGTATAAGATTAAAATAATTCAAACCAATTATTATTTTTATCATCTTTATTCAATTTCCAGCTAGTTTACAATATGACTATATACTAACACAAAATAAATTAAAACAACAAAGCAGAAAAAACCAAACAAAATTCTCAAAAGTAATTTTAAAATCCTGGCTTGAGCAAGGTCAGGTCATATGAAATACAAACACACTGCAAATAACTTGACCAAGCTCTCAATTTCTGATAGCAAAAATCTGATCAGCTGTAGAGATTCACATGAATGCCAATATTAGTTAGGGAGGTTCAAGCAAATGTGTCCAACACAGAAGCTAAGCTGATCAAATTTATGCAGTTCCATGGGAATGCCTTTAGTTCCCTAGACATTGTTACAACTGAAAAACAATAGACTAAAAATATGGAGTAACTGTACTTCAGGAGTACTAAAACTACAATAAATGTTGGTAAGCCTTTAGAAAATGACATTCAAATTATGTCGAAAAGCATTCCCATGTGCAGGATGGAGTGATGATCAATACGAGCATTGCTGATTCACTCACCTCCTCCCTGTCCATAGCCCCAATCATCATAACCTTCAAAATTATAAATAAAACTGTTATATATGCTGCAAATCACACTATTTACAGCGTTACTATCAAGACACAAGATTAAGTATTTTCCCAATAAGCCAGATAAAGTATTTTTTAAAAAAAAAAATCAATGACCCGAATTTGAACACTTGATCTCTTAGCTATAAGTTATAATAAACCCATCTCCAGAATCATGGCTTATATTACAAGTTTTACAGTTTCAAAAATGCAGACTAATATTTCTTGTGTTTTGATTGACTTAAGACATTCATAAATTATAATTTGAAAATATGGTCAAATCTTATAGATTAAAATAATCACACAAAAACAATGGAAACAATAGTAAAAATTTTAAGTAAGTACATCATAAAACATGGATACATAGCAAAATTTTTGAACACATATATACATTTTAATAAACTAAAACTTGACAACTGCTTTGAAAGTAAACTATTGAAGGCTATGCTCAATCAGTAAACATGAACAGAAATATTAAGCTGGTTTAAGGCTTAATTTTTAAATGGTAAATAATCAAAATTATGCACTGTGTAAATAACTTTTTGTAAGTTTGCGTTTACAGTTAAAAGAAAATGCAATCAAAACAAATCCACTACTTACCACCATATCCATAACCGTAGTTCTGATCATATCCTCCATTATTCCAGCCGCCATATCCATAGCCACCACCATATCCATAGTCGCCACCATAACCATATCCATAGCTCTGGTCATAGCCTGGATATCCGTAACCACCATAACCATATCCCTGATTGTAACCATAACCACCTAAGGATAATTTTTCAATATTTTCATTCTTAGAATTTAAATACAGAAGATTAATTATCTAAACCTAAGCATAGTTAAATAACCTGAATTAAAATGAAAGAACTGTATCAAATCTACTACGGTTTCAAACTTAAATGAAACTTAACTATAGCCATCCACTTACCTCCACGACCTCCTCTTCCTGCTGGTCCAAATCCTCTTCCTCTTGGCCCACCTCTTACATTACCACCACCAGGTGGAGTAGCTTTTTTAACTTCGACCTACACACACAAAATCTATGTTTTATTTCTTTATACAAGACCCTCAAAAACTAAAATAAAGTAGCACAAAAAGATTCGGGACAGGTTAACAACCACATTAAAAGATGGTCCAAGAAACAATTGACAGGGTCATAAGACCATGCAAACTGAAATACTTTAAACCTCTACAAAACAAAAAGTTTGTAAGTAGTAATGCTCCTCATGGAACCCCAGTTTGCAGAGTCTTAACATGCAAAACTATTATCCCCAACAAAATGGCACTGAGAACAAGTTTATATACAAGGCATGCATTTACACCATTCTGCCTGAAATTAGCCGCCAAAATTAACCTGAAAAATAATTTAATATGAAATCTGTTTTACATAAACAAAAGGACCAATTACAAACTGATTAACTATGAAAAATGAATAAGCACTGTCCCAAACCTTCTTGTACTATTAATGCAAATTTTGGGAGGGAAATTAAAATTTAACAACTCTGGTTAATTTTTCAAATCAGGAATTTCTGGTCATTTAGCTTGGAATCCATCAATTAGGAAAAAAATAAAGGTACCTGCTTGATTATGAGAGAAAAATCCATCAGATTAAAATTAAGTTAACCTTTAAACATTATCTTATTAATCTGGGATAAATGTAAACTTTAAATCTTTGAAAGAAGCATGGATTATCGATGTTTACATTTATCTTTATAATGAGCATAGACCAACTTAGAGTTTATGGTACCTCACGGCCCACATCACTCCGAGCTCCTTTGTTCCATCAATTCCGTCTCCTGCAGGAAAGTGGAACAAAATCAGCTTCAGTGGCAGTTTTAAATATACAAAGGAGGATAAACAAGCTGATTATCATGCTGTGATCTTTTAAAGTTGATAGTATAAGCTTCTTTACATTGAATCACAACAAAGTTTAACTTTTAAAATCGCAAAGTACCATGAATTTGAAGACAATTATTTCTGGTCAGCTTCACTGTTGGAAATTTAAATTTGTTAATACAGAGCTTCTGACAGCATGAATGATAACTTTACAAAATGTTACTGCACTTTAACAATTACAATGGATACGAATTTATCAGTTTTTGGGGGGAAAATAAGAACGTCTGGAAAATAACAATACCTCTTGTGTGCCAATTTTATGATTTGTCTGTTCCAAGCACTTCTTCATTGCTGCTAATTTTTTGAATTCAACAAAACAAAACGCTCTCCTTTGTTCTTTAGTTTTATCAAAAGGAAGCTCAAGTTTTTCAACCTGTTAAATGAAAAAGAAATGAAAGTTAATTAAATATTTTAAAAATGCATTATCGTGTGAAAATAGCAAATAAAAAATAATTTCTACTTACAGGACCAAATGTTTCAAAATAGGCTTTAACTTCATCCTCTGTAATTGCTGGATCAAGTCTACCAACGAAAACTTTTTTGTTGACTGGTCTAGGATTTGCACGTTTAGGGTCTATCGTTCTCCCATGCAATTTGTGTTCTTTTTCTGCTAAAACCTAAATGATAAAAATACATTATAACACCAGCAGTTGCACTGTCATAAAAGCTAAATAGGTCACAGAAATGTTATGGACAATTACATAGGAAGTGATGAAAAAGAAAACGCAAATTATTTTTATTATCTCTCTCATTTCAATCTAAAATTTTAAAATATTGACATGCTAGGCTAAAGTGATTTGAAAGAGATCACAACATTTGTGTCCTGCATGTTAAAGTGGGCGGCAAAAGTGTGAAGCACATGGTACATAAAACTGATTAAAGACTATTTAGAAGAAGAATTTTGATTCTCTGGTCTGCTTTCCAAGATAATGTGTTCCTAACTTGCCACGATCTCATTTTGTTTTAACTTAAACTTTTACCTACTCGGAATAGCTGAACAAACCGCGATTATTCATTAAAAAGCCGAACAATTCTGACTTTGGCAGTAAGGTAGATATGTCTCGAACATTGTTAATTTTAGTAATATAGAGGATAAAAGGTACACAAGGTTACATTTTTAAATAAAATAAAATACATTTTCCATTTCTATTAATTTTTTTTCATTCATCAAAACACAGAAAACTATTTTCACTAAAGGAAAACAAATAAAACAGTCAAATGAACTGAACAAAATCATGTCTTTCAACGTGCAACGGTAAAAAATGTAATAAATCTTGAGCTAGTACAATTGGATGCAATGTCCAATATCCTCTCAGAAAATGTATACCAAATTTTCCTGAAAGCCACAATACTATACACCTGATGCCTGATGGGCTAAACCAACTTTTTAAACTCAAGAGACTGAAGAAAACTTACCTTATCTACTGCTTCTGTGGCTGCAAAAACTACAAAACCAAAACCTCTAGATTTCCTTGTTTCTAGATCTGTTTTAAGTGTACAATTTGTGACTTCACCGAATTTTTCAAAATATTCCCTGAGATCCTCTGTAATAAAAAAAATGTGTTAATTTATTTTTAATCAGCAAGTTGTCACAAAAAATACTAATACCTAACAGTTATTTTAAAAAAATAACACAAAAACTTACTTGTTGTTGTTTCCCAGCTGAGACCCCCAACAAACACTTTTCTGAGGAATTCAGAATAAAATGTTATAGAAGGAAAAGGAATTTTTAAAATTTGAAGCTACATTTGCTAAACTAATATATCGCTGAGTAAATTAGTATTTTTTTAGTAGTACTTTTTTAAGCATGGTACTAAACACCATCATTAACAAAACAATTGTTTAACAGAGGAGCATTTAGCTTATGTATGAACAATGTCATGTACATGAATTACATAAGATGCTTGGCTGAGATTTAAGAACAGCATTCTATGTAAACCTACAAAGGTATTAGAAGTTTTATTATTAAGGTGAGAAATTTAAGGGGAAGGGAGTAGTAATGATTTCTGCTGGACCATGATGGTCATAAATGACCTACAAAAGGATTGTAAGTTTTATGGATGGGTTAAAAAACAGGTGGCACTGAGATATTTGTATTGCCCCTATAAATAATTAAACGATAAAAATGCACCTGATACATAGGAACCCCATAATAAATGAAATGCAAGCTAGTTTACAATTTACATATAAAGACTTAGTTATTGTCTAACAAATAAAACCAAAATGATATTAATCATAATTTCACCCAGAGAATGATAAAACAAGTATGGTAAAATTCAACAAATGATGGTCAGGATGATTATAGATACCGGTGTTCGATAATAGACTCTTCCGTAAAATAGGTGTGTTGGGTTGTTTGTAGTATTGTAATCTCAAAAACATTTACGGTTAGAAATTAGGGTTAGGCGTATGGTAGGACCAGGGTTGGCGTTAGCATTGATATAAGCCAGCCACTAACCTAACAGCCTTTTTTTAAAAAGAAGATTCCATTATCAGACACAGGTGTAAAAATTCTCCCGAAGGTCATTTAAATTTGGCATCAACAATAAGTGAGCAAAAAAAATTTAAAACAATTGAAGGGTTGGAGTTAGCATTGAAATAGCAAGACTTAGGCCTATATGTGTTTCGTTACCTACAAATATCCTAACACCCCTTTTTAAGAAGATTCTATTATTATGCAATTATCAGACTGGTATTATAAATACACCAATTTCTGTTTCATCTCCCTCCTGGGCCAAGTGGGTCATAAATTACATATGGATTAATTCTCTGATTAGCAGTGATCCAAAGACAATTGTCTTATTGGGGTTTAGTGAGGTTGGGATTGGAGCTTAATAATTCCCATACCACAGGGTGCTGTGTCTAGTGTTCTTTACAGTCTTACACTTAAACAGATTCCACCTTATGCTGCCACTTGTCCTTTTGATTCTTGAGGATAACTAAAGTCTAAAGAGTAGGCTTACTAAAGCTACAATCTAGGCTACTAATTTTAATAACCGAAATTAACCTGAGCTGATTTTAAATCGATGAACTGTGTAATGTATAGACCTGGAATCTAGGCCTAGATTCTACATCTAAATCAGTGGGGGAAAGGAGAAAACTGCTACAAATAAGAATGGTTGAGGGGCGCATTAACTTGCCCCAACCCCCATTGGAACAACTGGAGGTTTGGAAAAACTACGGAAGAGTCGAGGCCTTGAAGTTTGATCTCTGGTGTCATGGGGAAAGCTAGAATCTAGATTCGAAGGTTTTCATTTCTGAAAATTAGCATTATGTTTATATATTCGGGTTACGTTTGAATAAAGTAAACGCATAGATTTGGTCAACAGTAAACGCTTATGTCTAAAAATCGATAAAGTAACTTGGAATGTTGAAAATAAAGTGGATGTGTTACAGCCTCGTTTTCGATTTTGTTTAATTTTAACAAGGAGGCATGGAATGAGAACACTCACCTGTCGTCTTCCCCATCATCTTCCTCATCTACCATCATTTGTTGATTATCTGCATTTTCATCTGTGTTTTCTGCGTTACCATTTTGTTCTTCGCACTGATCATATCCTTCGTCTTGCTGCATTTCATCGGCCATTGTGTAAAATGTGTAAATTAAACGATAAGTAACACTAACCCAACTTCCCACGCGCACAAACGCCAAGCCTCTTCCTGAAAGAAAGAAGTCACGTGATTTTATGCAAAATACTTTCTCGCGTTGTCACGAGTTCACATAAATTGTTAAAAATCCATTACGATTTTATATTTTTATTATTATTTTTTAAAACCATATCTTTTATTTTATTTTTAGAAATTAACAAATGTGAATAGTATTAAGTTATTAAAAGATTAGTTGTTTTGCTCAATGACGTCATGTAATGTCAATACCGGCGGCGGGAATATTTATTTAAGACAGGGCCCTTCTAACGTGTTAGATCTAAATTCTAGGCCTAGACCCCAAATAAGGAACATTAAATAATGCAAAATTTTTGATAGTATATGAATTGTAGATCTAGACTACAGATCTCTATATCGATCCATTATACAAAACCTATATACTTTATATACTAAATATTTTTACGTGTGTCATACATATTATCAGAGTTTCTTCCAGCCCCCTCCCCCCCCCCCCCCCCGAAGAAAGTCTACCGCCCCCCCCCCCCCCGAACGAGATGGAATTAATATTGTAATCATATACTTTTACTAGTGTGCGCCCCCCCCCTCCCCCCGAAAAATGTAGATCGCCCCCCTTCCCCTCAAAAATATCAAGTGCCCCCCCCCCCCCGCCCACACGGAGAAAAAAGTCTGGAAGAAACACTGCATATTACTATAAACATATGCGCATATATCTAAAATCTTTAAATTACATAGAATCGTAAGTTGATTTGCACTTTATGGATATTTTATACATAAAACTATATTAAATTCCATACAAATACACATTTGTGACTTTATTTCCTGTTTTAACTTTTTTTCCCTACAATAGTCTTGCCTCAATAAAAAGGGCTCGATCATGACAGAGATTTTCACAAAACATGCTCGTAATTATGACCGACAAAAGCGCCTGATACATCGCCTCAGATGTTGATTCTATTGCCTCCCGATGAAATGGCTTGACTTACTTGACTTAATCCTGTTTGTTCCTGGTAGAGCATAGAGCCTCAACCACAACCCTCCATTTTATCCGGTCCCCGGCTGTTATTTTTGCAGTCTTCCAAGACATCCTTTCTGTCTTCAGTTCTTCAAGATCAAAACTCAGCTTCCAGACCTGTCTTGGGTGCCCTCTCTTTCCCTTTCCCTGGGGGTTCCACTCCAGCGCCCCGCGTGTCACATTAGACTCATTACAGTGAGCCTTAAGCAGTGTGTCCCCCAGTGGCGTAGCGAGGTCGGGTGTCACTCGGTGCGGCACTTAATGGTGTCACACCCGAGAGGCGTAGCGACACTTCCCGGGGACAAACTTTCAATTTTCGATTTGCACCCCCTTCAAACTCTCGATTTGCACCTCTCCCCCCCCCCCCTCAAACTTTCGATTTGCACTCCCCCCCCCCTCAAACTTTCTATTTGCACCTCTTAAAAGACTATTTAACACTCGAATTAATCACTTAATTAAGTGGAATTATTATTTTTTCTGTATATATTTTGCTATTTTTTGCCTTGGTGTCACCCCCCCCTAAATGGTGTCACCCGGTGCGGTCCGCACCCCCGCCCCCCCCCCCCCCCCCCTCGCTACGCCCCTGTGTCCCCCAACCACTTCCTCCTTCTTAATTGCCCTGGTATGGGCTCCTGCCTTGTCCTCGATGAAATGGCGCTGGACAAAAAGCTTTCGACTTAAATACTCTTGGTAAAATTGCTCTCGCCATACGGCTTTAGGGTCGAATTGCTCCTAACTAAAGATCACCTATCAATACGGCCAGGCCATATAAAGGCATGAGAATAATTAATGAAATTAAGGACGATAGCTCTTTCGTCGCGTCTAACTTACCAACAGGCATTTTAAACTTGATCTTTCTCGGGGCCGATTTTTTCTTCACGGACATAACCCATGAAAAACAAATGCCGTGCACTGCATGGTTTTGAACAAAATCTCAATTAATCTTTGCATAGATGACGGTTTACTACTATGGCAAGCAGGGTTCGAACATTAGTGACGATGTATAACGACCAGGGCTGCTTTATTCGTAGGCTCTGGCACTTTTTACATTCGTGAGTTAAAACCTTCAAGTGCGACCGTAACACTCAATATTTATTTCACATTAGCCATAGTTGTGGTAATGGTTGTATTTTAGAGGGGAAAATCCTATTTCTTAAGTGGAAAACGTCTTTGTCTTTTTTTTTTAAATTTTTTTTTTCAAAACTTTGTTTTCTGACTTTCGTAGGCCCTAAAAGTGCCAAATGGATAGATAGACCTGATGACGACGGCGAAGAGCCTGGTGTTTGTTTTATAGAGTGTGATTTCACACATTCGTTTTTACAAGCTTTTATTGAACTTGCTTAATTCTCGTTCTTTTGCCTGTCGTGCATCGTCAGAGGGCGAAACGGGCGAGCAAAATTTAAACAACCGCTAACCAATGTCTTTGAAACTTGGCACGTAGGTCAAGATGCAACGACAATACAATGTGACCAGAGTTTCTTCCAGGCACCCCCTCCCACCCCCGGAGAAAAAAGTCTGGAAGAAACACTGAATGTGTGACATCCAAATTAATTTAATTGGATGCCTAATTAATTTTTAAAGAATTAAATTTCCTATATACGGTACTAATTTTCTCGCTGTTATTAGGTATTCAAAATGAAATTTTTATAATGAAATTAAATAAAATTTAACACTTCCACCTGATAGAGACTGTTTTCATCAGAACAGAAACACCAAATTTATTGATGTATGTCCATTTTTAAAAAAGTTATGAATTTTTTAAAACTTAAAAAATGCGTTCGCTTTTTGAACAGTAAAGGGTCTATTTGAGACCCCTACTAACTTCTACAATAACTAAGTTAGAACTCTCAAATTTCTTGCACACACAGCCAGTAATACAAATAGCAAACCCAATTTTTTTCAAGGTAGTCAGACAGATATAAATAGAAAATTTATTCACATAAAAATGAGCCAAAGCACAATTTTACCGAAGTACGAAAAGGGAGACAAAAAGTTAATTTACAGTCATTTTTAAAAAATCATAGAAAATCAACTAATTAAGCCACATTAATAATATAAATGTTCTAAGAAAGGAAATTCAAACCATGTTAATATAAAATAAGCAGGTAAAGAATTAATAAAGAAAGTAATTAGCGAGACCAGATTCAGCAAGGTCAGTTTATAAAAATTAGAAATTTCATCCTTTTTCAAAAAATTATTAAAAAATATTTAAGTAAGGTATCTTAATAAATTTTACACCAACTTAAAGCACATGATGTTCTTAATATATAATAAACACAGAGACATAAAATAATCATTCTGCAAAACAATACAAGGCATCCTTCCTTAACGCCCAAAATCAAGAATTTTCATTACCTAACATCTTGCAAAAAGTGTTCTTACTTTTAAAAAAGTAATATAAATTGTGTAGGAAACATGTTAGCATTACTTTGTTATAAAAAACTAAATAACTATACTACTTCTTTACTTATATACTATAATAAGAAGAAATTCCATGCATTTTAAAAACTGACGAAGTAAGATAACTAATTAAACTGAAATTCTTTTTAAATTACCCTAATAGAGTTGTGATGTTCATCTAGTTTTGTTACTCTGGTTCCTAATCATGACTTGTTTAGCATAAATTTACTTGTTACTAGTATATTTATTTCTTCTAGTTAGTTATTGATCAAAGTCAACTTCTGGAAATGTCTAGATCCTAACTTATACAATTATCAGAAATCTTAGAGCAGGTTCAAAAAGACAGGTCAATATCCTGATTGTGAAATTTCTCTATGAGGTTGGGTAGCATTGTAATTAATAGTCAATATCCTGGTTGAGTGTCTTCTTCAAGGTTACAGATCAAATTATGGAATCTAGTAAGGGATCCTTCCATTGGTCCAGAGTATAGAAAATGTCTGTGAATAAAAACAATTAATTAGCATTTCAAATATACTGACTTATATAACAGGCCTGTATATCTTTATACCAACTTAAATATCAATCATGTAACATTACATCATTATAAATAATAAGCAAAGTGCATACAATACTAACATTTGACATATGGTTTCCTTCAAAAGTATTCAGGAGTCCTGTTGTTGCTTTCACAACAATACAAAATTTTTGGTAGGCCAATGAGTTTCCCCTTTCTTTCATGCTAATATCTTGCTCTGTAAATAGAATAATAATAATATTAAAAGTAAGGCTGCTCAATGCTTTTTTAGATATTAAATGTAAGCACTATAGATAGTTATACTACTAGATCTAAATATTAACATGAAAGCAATAGTGAATCTAACTAATCTAAGTAGATCTAGACTAAATCTAGAAACAACTTTGGACTAAACTATTATGGAAGGGGGGCTACATTTTATTTTAAGTCGTCTTTACAATAAATCTAGAGATAAAAAATGTAAAAGATCGTAATATTCTAAAATTTAATGTAACTACTGCACATGTATAGAATAGTTAACTATGAAACTAGGAAAGACAAAAAGAAAACAATGCTACAATAAATTGAAAGTATGCTGTTAACCGCTGCGGTAATATAATAGTTGAACCCAACACTACGAGAAAGTAAAAAAAAACATGGCGGACAATCGGCTTGAAATATCGACAAAATATTGATAGTTTAATCGGCCGATGTTATTAACTAACATAATTTACTAAAACAAATTAAATTCTATCATCCTTTTAAACATCTTTTTGATTTAATTGCGCATTCCTTTTTTATTTCAGTGACCATAAATTAAATACAACTGACTTTTAAAAAAGGCTAGATAATTTTTTGGAAAAAAAATTTATAAGCGTGGAGCAATTACCGATAAGCGGACACTAATATTCAAATGTATTAAAGCAGCAGTTAATCATAAATAAATAGAATATAGCTAGTAATATAATATGCATTCAACTTACCTGCACGTGTTTTTAAATCCACTGTAATCAACGAATGAACACAAAATCTTGCTCTGAACCGAGGTCGGGTGTTCCGGAATTCAACACAATCTTGACTCGAGCCGGCGAAATTTAGATGCGGGTCGTCGCGATTTGTATACATTGGTTTCATTTACTGCGGTCCGACCCCATACATGGAGTGTTCATTAAATCGTAACAGTTTTATGGCAAATTGGATGCCCTTTCGGAATATACAACTTTGGCGGCTGTAAAATTATTTTTTCATGGAAAAAAATCATTTTAAAATTTTAAATTGAACATTTTTAGCATTTAATTATATTATACAGCTGGCAAAGTTATACCATCTTACAGAGCTACCATTCTTCTTTCTAAATCAGTGGTTTCTAATTGCGTATGTATTATGGGGTCGGACCGCCGCGCGATGCCGCAACGCGACCAAAATTTTTTAAAACCGGCTTAAATTTTTCGGCTCATTTAGAATACCTACTGTTATTCACACATTTTTCTTGTGCAAATGGTAACAACATTTAAAATATTGAAAAAATAATTTTAAAACATGCTTTTATATAATTATGTACTAAAAAGAGAACATAAATGGTTTTCTTTAGATATAGGCCCTATAATTATACAACAAATTTTAATAGCTATAAAGAAAAGCGTGGGTCACTGTATTATCTATTGAAAACCTTTACTAAAATTAAGTGTACATGCCCTCATTTACATAAAAGCTTGTTATTAAAACGTTATTTTTATTATTTATTTTTCTCTAGACTCCTTTAATGAATTTTTGTTTGCAATGTTGACCTGGCCCAGGTTTACTAAATTTTCAATGTGCTACTCAATAGTCATTAGTGATTTGTTTTTAAAAATAGATAATTGGGGCAGAGGCGTAGAGACCCTTCCCGGAGCCCGGGGACAAACTTTCAATTTGGCGCCCCCCTCGGGAACAACCTTTCAATTTTCAATTTGCACCCCCCTCAAACTTTCAATTTGCACCCCCCTCAAACTTTCAATTGCACCCCCCTCAAACTTTCAATTTGCACCCCCCCCTTAAACTTTCAATTTGCACCCCCCTCAAACTTTCAATTTGCACCCCCCCCCATATATTTGTTTTATATTTATAATGCAAAACTGCAGCTAAAATGAGATTTTAATTTGTTTTTACAACCCGTTTTGGCGCCCCCTAAGGTCGGCGCCCGAGGACATGTGTACCCCCCTTGCTACGCCTCTGATTGGGGGCAATTTCTAAGTGTCAGTCATTTTTTAAGGGCTCTGATAATTCGTAACGAAAGGGATGGGAAAATTGGCAAAAAAATGTTGATTATCATTTATGGACAACCTCAATAGCAGCAGTTTATTAATAAAATACTTAATGACATGAAAATTTAATTTTAAGGCCAACGATAGTTTTTTTCTCTTCATTTTAATGGTTATTGTGTGCGCGCATCTTGTCGACTTTTTAAAAAATAAACCGGGAGTCAGAGGCGTAGCGACCCTTCCCGGCGCCCGGGGACAAACTTTTCGATTTGCACCCCCCTTGAGATTTCCATTTGCACCCCCCCCCTCAAACTTTCGATTTGCAACCCCCTCAACCTTTCAATTTATTTTTCCAACCCATTTTGGCGCCCCCTAAGGTCGGCGCCCGGGGACATATGTCCCCCCCTCGCTACGCTACTGCCGGGAGTGATCTCCCCTAAACTTTGTCAAATATTCTTATATTAAACAACAGGGGATGGGAACTCCAGCTATAGACGTGATTTTTAATCCATTTTAAATACTTAAAGTTTTAAAAATAGAATAAAATCTCTTAGACAAGAATCGCACACCGAGTGAACGCCAAATAAAAAAGTGCATAATAGTTCGCAATATTATTAGTACTTTAAAATTTACGTTAGTTTTTTGAGAAATCGGAAGTAGCATAAATTACTACTTCCGGTCAACGGAAATTACTCAAAATTTGACAGAAGGTAGAAAATTAGATCTTTTACTCACATGTGAAATTTCTTTTATCTATCTGAAATAGTACTCAAGTTATAGGCTTTTGAAAAATTCAAAGTAGAAAAAGTACCACTTCCGGTTATCGGAAATCGCTCAAAAGTTGATACGGATCTACGATTTTGATAAAATACTTATATATAACATTTCATCAACCCAGCTGTAACGGTACTCGAGTTATCGTGTTTACACACGGACACACACACACACAGACATACGGACAAGATTGCAAAATTATGTTTTTCCGTATCAGTGAGATGTAAAACGTCGAGATTTGCAAAAAATCTCGATTTTTTTTTTTGCACGATTACAAGACTTTCTCTATACTTCGTAGATCTATATACGAGAAAGTAAAAAGAATAAATCACATGTTCCTGTTTATTAATAACTTATAAAATGCGAAGCTTAACAAATAACAGGAAGTTAAAAATAAAGCCTATTTGTAACCAGGCAACCTTTGACGCTGTCATGTCTAACATCTTCAACACTGTAAACAACGCTTAGACATACAGCACTTAAATTTTAAAATAACTGTGATTTCTCATCCTCGACAAATTTATTTAAAAACCTGGATAATTCAGTAAGTTTGGGCACTTGATTAAATTGAATGCACAGAGAATTAACTTATTTTTAAAACCGTATTTAAAAAAAACCAAAAAACGGGCTCAGAGTTACTCAGTGTCCGAGTTAGTGAGTTAGCAAGGATATTTTATTTATTTATTTTTATACAAATTTAATTGATAGATAACATTTGATCAGTGATAGATCTAGAAATCTAGATCTACTTGAATTTGATGGCGATTTCAATATTTTTAATCATTTTATTATTTGCGTTAAGTTTTAAGAGTAAGACTAAGACAATTTCAAGATTTGAAGACAATTTTATATTTGAAGTGAATTTTTAATTTTTAACAATTGAATTTAGAAAGTTAGTTTTATTTAAATTTTAGAAAGTTGGAGTTAGTAATAGAATAGTTCAGTGTATAGTATAGAGTGACTGATAAATAGTTATAGAGACAGAGTAGAGTGATAGTATTTTTTAAAACTTATTTTAATTTCTGTAACTTGTCTTTAATCAATGAGCCTATAGTAGTTAACTAACCTTATTAATTAGACTGTTGCAGTGTATTAACTTAGAATTAAGGCTTAATCCTAAGTTAATTAATAAGTTTCTACAACAAACTAGGGCTAGAGGTCTGACTATATTAGTATATTTAATTTATTTTAGGCCTATACAGACCTATATTAATTAACAATAATTAACATATTATTTATAAGGCTTGTAGAAGTTGTAGAACTAAATTCAAATTTATTATGGATTTGAATTATGTTTGTTTATTTTTCCTCTAGTGATATTATTCAAGGATGGCGGCTGCAGCTGTTTCATCAAATGTTGAAGAAAATATTCGTTTGCTTGTGCAAACTAAACGGGTCCGTGTCAATGAGTTTTTTCAAGACTATGATAAATTAAGATCTGGCTATGTTACAGGTACAACAAAATTGTTTTGTGATAGTATTGTAATTCTGGTAAAACACAAATCTTCTTCTACTGAAAATATCTGTTTGCGATCCATGTATCTTCTAAGGGGCTCATTTTTAAAATAACATTTCTAAAACTTATTTTATATTTATGCTGTGTTTATATTTAAATGAGAACTTTACATACATTTAATGACTGTAGTAAGGAAAAGGATTTGAGCAAACATCTTAAAAAATCATATTAAATGTTTGTTTCAGTCTCAACTGAAAAAAGTATATATGATAATATATTGTTGTAATCCAAAGATTAATAGTATCAGGACTTTTTGCTAGACATTTTATAATAACCTCAGCCCTAAAAATAATAAGTAAAAATTTAAAAAATAACAAATTAAATTTTTTATTACTCATAGAATTATACTTTTAATACATTATTCAGTGCCCCCAAAAGGTAATAATTTTTTCCCACAGGCCCACAGTTTTTTCGATGTCTTTGGCAAACTTTATCTTTAAAACTCAGCGAGGAAGAAGAAAATGCACTTTGTCTCAAGTATGGCATAGGAGAAAATGGAAAAATAAATTATAAAAGGTTTTGTGATGCTGTTCAAGTCAAATTTGAGCCTAAAAATACCTATGGACCTCCAGATGTACAGAAATTGGTACCTTTGGAGTAGTAAGTTGAATTATAAGTAATTATTTTTTATTTAAAATGAGTGAAATCCTTTGGCTTGCTGCATAATTAATAAGTGAATTGAAAATTAGAATTTTATTTTTAACAGCATGATGTTTAGTGGATGCATGTGAGGTAATTAATGCAATTACCACTGATTACTAATAACTGGAGCAAAATTGATTTTTAAAACGTATATAAAGCTCAATATGGTGACTTATAAAGGATTTTATGAACTGTAAATTTGATCTTATTGTTTTTGGGTGTTAAAGGTCAATGTATCAATGTTTTTTGCAGCCTAGGCACATTGAGAACAAAACACCCATTGCCAGTTGATGAGGAGGCTAGGCTTGTAGGCATTTTACGTAAAATGCAACAGTATTACAATGTCCGGGGCATCAACCTGCGGACACAGTATGAGGACTTTGATAAACATCACAAAGGTGTCATCTCAGAAAGCCAGGTAATTCTGTGTTTTACATTTTTTCAAGTTTAAGCACCCCTTTCCATATAGTGTGGTCAGGTTGCAGAACACTGGCCTGCTAACCTCAAAGTCTCTAGTTCATACCTTGATCTAAACTTGTCTAAAGGCCATGAATCCACCCAGCACTGATGGGTACCTCACTCATGTTAGGGAGTGTAAACGTGGCTGGCCATAGTGCTGACCACACCATCCTTTCATATGCTGAGGTCATGAAACATATTAACTCTACACATCTGCCCTATAGATCATTAGTTCTAGAAGTAGAAATTTACTAAATTAACTTTCAAGCTATTTTTCTTAAATTTATTGTGGTAAAAGTAAGACCTTGTTATTTTTAAAAACACCATTTTGATTTCTATGTTTTTTTACACTTAGCCAATTATGTTTATTATGTTTGTAGTTTTATCGAAATTTTCCTGGACCAATGGATCTTAATGATGAAGATATGAAAGCACTCGTAGAAAAATATGGTGATCCAACATGTGCTGGCTTAGTCAATTATTTAAATTTACATCATGATGTAGTGGCAGTTCATAACCATGTCAAGGGAGAAAAAGTTCCAAAGGCAGTTGCAAAAGAAAGAAATGTTGACTTGGTGCCTCTTTTTGTAAGTTATTTTTTTTTTTTTTTTGTAAATTTTTTTTTCCAGATTTTAATTTTAATGGCATATGGAAGATTAGAATTTGGTCAAATAAAATAAGAAATTATACATATTTAAGACATTTTCATAAATTAGATCTTAAAACCTATTTTCACTGTTTGCTTGATTTCTCCATTTGTATTGATGATTTGTTGGATTTCTCCATTTTTAATGATGATTTTTTTTTAACAAAGTTGCTTTTGTTTTATATTTAGCCAAATGCCGATCCAACACTTGCAGAAATTCTAGACAAAGTAAGAGTGGCTGTTTATAAAAATGGAATTCGTACAGTGGAATTCTTTAAAGATCATGACAAACTTAGAAGTGGCATCATCACAGAAAATCAGTTTATTTGTGGCCTAGCATTAGCATGTGGTAAAGAAGCACATCTCACCCGTCCTGAAATTCAAAAGGTTGTGGAGTTTTATCGACTCCCTGACGGGAGAGTTCTGTACAAGGATTTCTGTGATCTAATGGAAAATGGTAAGCCTTACTTAATTAAATTCAATTTCAAATTCAAGTCCATAAATGAAATATTTTATTAAAATGTAAATATTTAAATTGTTTCCATTTTTGTTTCTTTAGCATTTAATATTCCTGATCTTGAAAAGAAGCCAACAGAGACTGTACAAAGACCTGCCAAGGGAACACTATTCAGGGTAGCTTTAATATTCCATCTATTTGTTAGTGTTATTAGTAGTAAAAAGGTAAAATGTAGCACTTCCCAATTTGTTAGGACTAAGAGTACAAGTTACATTTAGCTTTCGCATGCAACTGAAAACAAGTAAACTTGAGAAACTTTTGGAATCATTGCCTTAGCCCATTTAAGCAATTTTTTTAATTGCAACAGTTTAATAAATGCAGTTATTAACTGCTACTGTTCATGTATTATTCAGTTTGACTGACCCATTATTATATTAATTATTAAATATTAGTTGGTGATACCATGTGTTGTGATTACTGGGTATAGGCACCTAAACTTAATAATAGGTACTTTTTTATCTCTTGTTGTTTAGGGTCTGAAGAGGCTACAAGAAGATGATGAAAAGCGCATTTTAGAAATTTTGGATGCCATCTCGAGCAAAGTTTTGAAGGAGAGAATCTTGATGTATCAGTACTTTAAAGATTATGACAGGGTTTGTACAGTTGGATTAGCTTTCTTGTAGAAACAAGTGAATATGTTTTAAACGCATGCAAATGATAACTTTAAATTTTGTATGATGTGCAGTATTGCAACTAAAATGTTGATACATTTCAGTCCACTGCATACACTCGTGTAGTCACCCCTTCTCAATTTGCAAGAATTCTTCATTTTCTGGGCCTGGATATTTCTCCAAATGATCTCAAACTGTTGATGACAAAATTTGAGGATCCATCTTCAGGCGACGTCAACTACCCTGCATTTGTGCAGGCAGTGGACAGAGGTCAACACATTTTACCATCTTTTCTAGAGCTTTTAGTTATATTTATTCAGGGTGGTCATGCTCGTTCCTTAAAGCTAATGGTTGCTAATCCAAAAAGCCCAGAGTTCAAATCCCTAGACAGCAACCCATCAAGGAGAGACAACTCTAAAATCAAACAATTGCAGCCTTTTAGTTTGTTCTTGGTTGGACAAAGGCTACAGAAGCTAATCCAGAAAGAAAAGCAGGCTAAAATTGGAGTCAACTATCTATATGTTGCATAACAAGTTGACACGTGATACTTAATAGTGTTGGAGGAAATCCCTCCCAACATTACAACTAAGAACATAGAAGATTGTTACTTTACTTATAGAGCATAATTATACACAAAGTTGTAACCTATATTATTATTTTAGAGATACATTAGACCAATTGCTTGACATTTTTCATTCAGCTCACAATTCTAATGTATATGTTGTGAAAAATTAATTTAAAATTACATTTAATGTTTGCCTGTAGCAAACCATACTTCTTTAATAACTCTTTATTTGCTACTTATTTACTGTTTTGTTTTTATACTCAAACATTTGTTTTGTTAAAATAGTACGATAATAAAATATTTTTAAAAAATTTGTCCAAAAGACTTTGTTGGCAACACTGTGGACTCATCAGAGGATGAATTTAAAGTCCGGCCACCGCCAGCTGTCCTAGCTGAAACCAAATGGCTGGAGAGTCAACCTGTTTCATTTGAAGACCTTCTGGCAAGAATTCGTCACATCGTTCTAACTAACAGACTCAGGGTACGATCTCATTTACCTGTCAGATAGTCTAATCACAATATTTATTTCACATAAAAGTACACTCCTTGTTCATCTGACATTTACGGGTCAGTGTGGTCGGTTTAGTAAAGCTAAAGATTGTTAAACTGAAAAGTCTTGAGTTCGAACCCCCCGACAGGTGAGGCTCAATAGCTGGACACAGCAACCCTTCTGAAAGAAAATTCTCCAAAATCAAACAACTACTGGGGTCGGCGTGGTCAAGTCGGTAAAGCTCATGGTTGCTAAACCGAAAAGTCTCGAGTTCGAACCCTCGGGCAGATGAGGCTCATTAGCTGGGGACAGCCACTCTTCTAGGAGAGACAACTCCAAAATGAAACAACTGCTGCCTTGTAGTTTGTTTTTGGTTCGACAAAGGCTATGGAAGCAAATCCAAAAAGAAAAGAAGGCTGAAATCGGAGTCAATGGACTCAATGGCGCATAACCAGTTGACATGTATCCTTAATTGTGTTGAAGGCGTGGTCGAGTCGGCAAAAAGCTCATGGTTGATACATTTGAACAGTCTCGAGTTCAAACCCACTGGCAGATAAATCTCGATCCCCTTCAATACTAATAATTAAGAACGAAGAAGAAGAAACAACTACTGCTTTGTAGTTTTTTCTTGGATGGACAAAAGGCTATGAAAGCAAATCCAAAAATGAAAAGTAGGCTGAAATTGGAGTGTTGTGTTGAAGGAAATCTTCCGATATTCCAATTAAGAACAAAGAAGATGTGATATTTAGCATGTAATTTTTTAAAATAGTGTACAATGCAGTGACTAGTTAAAAGCATTTGTAATTGTAATATATTTATTACTTTAAAAGCTCTGTATTATATAGCGTATAGCAGTGTATAAATAAATCCTGCTGACTTGTTTCTCAAATTTTTCAATGATTATTACAGATTAATGAATATTTTCAAGACTTTGACAGCTTGAGAAGTGGATCCATAAGCACAGGTCAATTCAGGCGTGGGCTTGCATCTATGGGACTGAGCAAATTAGGTTATCATGACCTGAACGACAACCAGTTTGAATTGCTAGCAGAGCATTACAAGAATCCCACCAAGCCAGACCAGATTTTATGGATGAATTTTCTAGCTGATGTTGAAAGCGGTATGTGCTTATACTTATAGGGCTAAGTTCTAGTCATATGTTTTGTACTGTTAGGGAATAAGGAAAAATTAGAAAAGCTGTAAAAGTTTAGCATGAAGTTTAGCATGTGTTGCTATGTAAAGACCAACAGACAGATCACAATGTAAATACAGGAAGGACTAAGGATGCAACTGAGATGAAGGGATATAGAAGAAGGGAGGAAACTAAAGGGAAACTACTTTGTTGCATATCCTACTGAACTTCATTCATTAACAAGGTGGAGAAGTTGTGGTCACTCTTGAATGACACCCACATTAGATTTTGAATTTGGTACACTGATATACAAGTCATTCTTAAAGGGAAGCTACTGTGTTGAAATTCACTTCTGACAAGGTCATTTCTAAGAATTTAATTTTTGTTTCTAGTTTTCACACAATCTGGTTTAGAGAAGGTTCCATCTGCAACTGTACCTCCACAAGAATGTTTTAGAGTACCTAAACCAGGAACCATTGACTGGAAGAATGCTTCAAAAGACCACATAGATCTCTACAATGCAACAATGGACAGAATCAGAAAGAGGGTAGAGCACAGACGTGTGTTATGCAAGCCAGTTTTTCATGACTTTGATAAGTAAGGCCAATACACTCTTTACTGTTTTTTTTTTTTTTAAATTTTGCCTATAGCAATTGTATAGGACAGCATGGTCATACTGTAGAGCACTTGACTTCTAATCCAAAAGACTCATGCTTAAACCCTGAAGTTAAGTTCGAAGATGTGTACCTGACTTAGGGTAAATAAAGGTGTCTGGGCATAAGACTGTCCATACTATCACCTCATGTGCCAAGTCACAGAAACAGTGAACTCAACATCATCAGCCCCCATGGGCCATAGGTTCAAAAGGGCAATTTTTACTTCACACAACAATAATATTCTTTGACTTTTGTTTGACAATATACAAAGCCACAAACAGGAATTCAATTGGAGCTGTTTCCAAGGAAAGTTTTCTCTAATGTGGGCTGGGTGGATTCAGGGACTTCCACTGACTTGAACCCGGATTTGAACTTGAGACTTTTGAGTTAGCAGTCTAGCGCCACCTAATCTATAAACAACTTTAAAGTTGTACTTAGCCTAATTGAAAATCATCCCATATTGACCTGTATTTTAACATATATTACACATCAAATCCAAAGTTTTCTAATGTGGCTATAAACCATAGTAAGTAGACTTCTGCTGGAGCTCTGCTTTGACTATTTTCTACAAAAAAAACCTGTCACAAATTATGATTTTGTTCTAACTATTGAGGCATATTTTTCCCAGACACAACATGGGCCACATCACAAGGACACAGTTCCGCCAGTGTTTGACTATGCTGGAAATACCAGTGGAAGAGCCTGAAATGCAGGCACTTGAGTCTCTATACTGTAATGATTATGGGGTGGACTACTGTAAGTTTTTGGCTGACTTACAGCCTGAGGAAGATGTGCCATTTATGTATGTGAAAAGAATGGAGGAGGTTAGAAAAACAAACAAGAAAAAAACATTGCCAGAACAGAATGCTAAAGCAGATTTGGAAAGTGTTCTGCTTAAAATTAAGACTAAAGTAAGTCAATTTATTTGATTAATATTTTTTCCCTTAAGGCCTAAAAATAGAATTTTCTTTCCTTTTCGTAAATAACCTTTGGCATATTACATCTTTTTAATGTTCACTCCCAGTAAAAAAAAATTACTATTGAACTTTTTTGTCTTGATCAGATCAGAGTAATTAAAATCTAAACAATAACGAACAACTCCTGTATATATACTTTAACTTTTGCTTTAATTACTATCAATTTAAAATCAAAAAGAATAGAATTGTTTTTTTTTCTTGATTGACCTGTAAAACATAGGCAAGAATTAAATAAATTATTATTTAAATTATTAAATAATTTATTTTCACAAACTAGGTATTCAAAGAAAGAATTCGTGTTTATGAATTCATGAAAGATTATGACAAGCTGCATTCTGGTCGCATGCTCAAAGCTTCTTTCAGAAGAGCTCTAAATTTGGCCAGGCTTGATCTTCTAGAATCTGAAATGGCTATACTGGAAGACAAGTAAGTAAAGACATGAAGAAACATCATGAGCTAATTGTGAATAATTGATTTATCAAACATGTTAATTATGTAATCATAAATCTTTTGTCTAAGCAAGATTTCTGCTTTCCTTATGGTTTTAAAAAACAAATATGAAGTGGTGTTTAATCAGAATTAAAAATTTTTTTTTATGTGTATCAGGGAAATAATGCATTTTTCACACATTTATAACTAGGTTTCAGTCCAATGCAGATTTTGAATATGTTGAATACTTAAAGTTCTGTCAAGAGATTGAATCAATATTTACCAAGGATAACCTCGAGAAAACTCCACTAGAAGATCACTACCAGCTGGCAGAAGAATGGAAACCTGCTCAGTTGACAGAACCTGAAGAGGAGCAAGTTAAAAAGTGTCTGTTACTCATGGCTGAAAAGGTACAGGTCAAACTGTTATTTAATTAATTGTTGAGTAAATTATTTTAATGTTCTTCAATTATGTAGTTCTTACTGCTTTGTTGAGCGGTAGAGTGTATGATTGCTAACTTCTTAATTTCCGAGTTCATTTCATTTTATATTTGTAAATGATTTTTTTTCAGGTGTACAAAAACAGAATGCAGCTTTTCCCATTGTTTGAGGACTATGACAAAGTCCACAATGGTGCAGTGTCCCAGTCCCAGTTCCGACGAGTCCTCATGGAGCTAGAACTGGCTAATTGTCTACGAGACACAGACTTTAAGTTGCTCTGGAACAAATTCCAGGTCCAGATTGGAGGGCGCACAGACACCAACTACATTGCTTTCTGCCAGACTGTGTATGAACTGGCAGGTTTTGACCTCAGCAAACCTTAAATGTCCATTGCACTTGATCATAATATTACTAAAACATAATGAATGTTTAAGACAGGACATATAAAGTAAGAATTTCGTATGTGGATTTTTAAAGCTATATGTACAGTGGTTTTATAATCTTAATAGAAACTCAAGTACTGACATTTCAGCTGAAAGCTTGCATAATATAAAATAAGACAAAGTAGCAAAAAGTCAGTTGTTAAACATGGATTTTTTTCAACTCTTTTTTTGAAATGGTTTTGCTAAAGTGTAAAAAAAAACACTTTTTGATGCACTCTACTCTAGCCATGTTGCAGCATTGATCTTAAGTGATATTTATTTTTTAAAACTTGTTATAGGTAGAATATCTATTGAAATATGTTTGCATAAATCTATTTTGTACCTTACTTTTTGTATTTTTTTTATGTGAAATGAGCTTTGATTATACAGTATTACAGGTAGATGAATTCTAATAGCATAATTGATGAGGAGATGATGAGACTTGGATTATTAATTACCAAAATTTTTTAAACTAAATTATTTAGTAATTGGAGTGACCAGCTAAACTTTAAAGCATTAGCATTACTTATTTACTCTTTTTATAATAAAGGCTTTGATAACAATTGTTTTATTTAAAAGAAGCCACTTCTACATTCTGTTTGTGATAGTGATAATTAAACAATGATCATGTTTACAAATTTTATATTTTAAAACTTCCGACCAAACAATATTTACAATTTTTTAAAACTATTGTGTTTACAGCCATGGTATGCTAAATAAAAATTGAAAAACATTACAATCTGTTATTTATATTGTTTAATGTGGACGAACATATCTTCTATGCTACACAATGCAATACCAAATTGAACATGATAAATGCATGACCAATCATTGGACATTTACTGATACCTCAACCGGATACAAAGGCTAGACACACAAAAGTGCTACATTACTTAATACTAACCCGAAAATTTCCAGTTTGAATCTGAGTTCTCCTCCCTGAGTCCACCCAGCTCTAATGGGTACCTAACTCATGTTAGGGAAGATAAAGGTGGCTGAGCATACCCCTGACCACACTATCCCTTAATATGCAGTGGTCACAGAAACAGGTAACTCTACTTCACTTGCCTTTTGGACCCTCAGGTTTGATAAGGGAACATGTCAAGCTTGAAGGTGTAGTATATCATGCATACAAATATAGGAGTTTAAACCAAAATGACTTACCAAAAGCATTCTTCTTCACTCCTCTGGGCACAGTAAGGAGCACCACACGACAAGGGTAATTTTTATAATATCAATCTGACATAATTTTCATCTTTTGCTGAGTTTGCTGATGTTTTTCTATCTAGAGATCTACCACACCCCCCCCCCCCCCTTTCCTGCCAGGAGCAAGCCCATTGCTCACCAGACAAAATTTAAAAAAATACAGAATTTATATAGAAAATATATACTTTAACCCGTGTCCACATATATATATATATATATATATATATATATATATATATATATATATATATATATATATATATATATATATATATATATATGTATATATATATGTATATATATATGTATATATATATATATATATATATATATATATATATATATATATATATATATATATATATATATATATATCTTTGCACATATAGACCTATATTTAGATTTAGGCGCGTAATTTTTTTTTAGATTAGACCCCCCCCCCCTCTATCTCCCCTGTCCACAGTGACGTAACAACATTGTAACCAAGATGGACAACGTCCACGCCACCCCCTCCTCCCTCCTCCACGACACCCCACTGTTTAAGTAAATAAGTCAAGCACTTAAAACAACTGACGCTTTTTAAAAATAATTTTTAAATTGTAAAAAACAAAAAATCGTAATCTTAAGAACGTAATAAGCTGCTGCCAGTTCAATAAACAATGATTTTTCTCTAGTGCCCCCGTACGACAGTGTGAGCAGATGCTCGTACACAAAGAAAACACGTCTGGTATTCAGTTCTTTGAGAACACCATGTTCTTTTCTGTTCTTAGCTTGTAGAAAGCGCTCTCGTCGTTCATAACATGACAACTGCAGACTCTTTGGAGATCACCGCGACCCCTGTTAACTTTCTAAACTAGGGTGCGTACTTTATCTCAAATTTCTACAGATCTGAAATTTGCACCATTTTTTTTTTTAGAAACTTGACACATTGAGTTTGCAGACTAGACTGGTATTCCCCTTGTGTTGGCGAAATATTTTTTCAGACGTCCACGTCATTTCTAGTCGCTTGGACCCTATTGTTCACTAAATAAGGGGCAGCATACCACGACATTGTATTCGTCTTGTTGCACATGGGCCGGCTAATATATATATATATATATATATATATATATATATATATATATATATATATATATATATATATATATATATATATATATATATATATATATATATATATATATATATATATATAGAGAGAGAGAGAGAGAGAGAGAGGCGTAGCGAGGGGGGGGGGGGGCGGGGGGTGCGGACCGCACCGGGTGACACCATTTAGGGGGGGGGGTGACACCAAGGCAAAAATATAGCCAAATATAAAGGGAAAAAAAAGGGGGGGGGTGCAAATCGAAAGTTTGAGGGGGGTGCAAATCGAAAGTTTGTCCCCGGGAAGGGTCGCTACGCCTCTGGGGGGGGGGTGACACCATTAAGTGCCGCACCGGGTGACACCCGACCTCGCTACGCCACTGTATATATATATATATATATATATATATATATATATATATATATATATATATATATATATATATATATATATATATAGGTGCCGCACTGGGTGACACCCGACCTAGCTACGCCACTGGTCACAACATCTGAATCCCCCCCTCCCCTTTATCGTCACAAAATTACGGAACCCCCATCCCCCTACGAATGTGGCGTCCCGTTAGATTGAACATGAGGTACGTTGGTCTTTTTGGAATATATTAAAGAGCTGAACATAGTTATTAACAGAGGTAATTCTTCCAGGCATCTCTTGCCCCCCCCCCCCCCCCCGAAGAAAGTCTACCCCCCTAAACGAAATGGAATTTATATAGAAAATATACACTTTTAATAATGTCCGCCCCCGGAAAATTTAGTCCGCCCCCCCCCCCCCCCAAAAAATTTCAAGTGCCCTACCGGAGAAAAAAGTCTGGAAGAAACACTGGTTATTAAGTGATGGGTTTGGTTGTAAAATGTAGCATTTTTGTGCTAAATATTTACAAGATTCCATACTCTTAGTAAAAAAAATAATTTAAGCCTAAATAGTTATAATTAAAAAGAAATTCACACTTAGTACTTTAGTTTATTTTCTTTTAATTTAATTTTAAATACATAGTAAAATCAAAAGAAAAAGAAACCCGTTGCGGCTATCGCAGGAAGTCTTTGCAAATAAAATTTTCTACCACATTTGATTTTAGAGAAAACGTAAACTTCCTTTTCCGCTTTTACGCCAATCGAAACCATGGTAGGTTATAATAAATAAAAATAAATCTTATTAAATCCATCTTAATTGTTGTGTTCAAGAATAGTTCATCTAGTTTAACAATTACCCCTTAGAGTGTGCATTGTGTTAGCCATGTTAATTTGATTGTGATACGTTTTTGTCATTAAATAGTTGACTACTTAAGAAACCGATTGATGCCCAGTAATGGAGCTTACTTGCCATCAAATCTATACTTAGATCTAGATTCTAGCACAATTCTACAATTCTAGTTCTCTTTAGGTGTAGATAAGAGAATGTCGATATTTCACAAGACAGTATTTGTCGTTTTCAGAGTTTAGACAATGCCAAAAATAAAAAAAAAATACTGATTCTTGAGAGCCAAATGTGAAAATTTCAATTTGCAAATGGCCGAATTGTTTCTTGTAAATTTGAAGTTGACCACTGTTTACCACTGTATGCTTCTAGATCTAGTTGTGTTATTGACAAATACCTTTTTGTATCTCGCTTTTTATTCCTGCAAGATCTCTCTGGGTTATTTATTACATTTTTAAAAAGTTTGAAATAATCTAAATTAATCATGATCATTTCAAGATCCAGTTCTCAGCCTTCCTAGTTTAGCAATACTACAGTTGTACAAATACATTGTACTATAGATATAATGTCTAGTCAAAATCTAATTCAGCTCTTGTATATTGTTTCTTTTCTTAGGCTGACGGCGTAGCTACCATTAGAACTAGAAAGTTCATGACAAACAGATTGCTTTGCAGAAAGCAAATGGTAAGTAACTTTGGCCATTGGACCTGTAATTTTAGGAAGGGTGTCACTCCAATATGTTTTCAAGGTAAAATAATCATTTTATATTAATTTATTTCAAAAGGTTGTTGATGTACTTCACCCTGGACGTGCTACTCTTCCCAAGACAGAGATCAGAGAAAAGTTAGCTAAGGTTTACAAAGTGACAGCTGATGTTATTTTTTGCTTTGGGTTCCGCACACATTTTGGTGGTGGCAAAACTACTGGATTTGCTTTGATTTACGATACTCTAGACAAAGCCAAGAAGTTTGAGCCCAAATACAGACTTGCTAGGGTAAGCTAAGCTTGATGTTTATTGTACTAGTTGCGTTCTTTAAGCAGCAATACTGACTTCAGGTCCAAAAATGGTGTAAGTTATATTTTTGTAAGACGGCATGGTCTAGCGGTAGAGAGCTGTACTGCTAACCCGAGTCTTGAGTTCAAATCCAGGTTCAAATCAGTGGAACGTCCCAGCTGTGATGGGTACCTAACTTTCGTTAGGGACACAAAGGCAGCTGGGCATAGTGCTGACCACACTATCCCTTTATATGCCAAGGTTAATGAATCAGATGAACTCTACTTCATCTGCCCCATGTGCATTGGACACAAATGGGATTAAGATTATATTTTTTATTGTATTGCCAATCTATAATGGAACAAATGAACATGCATTTCTACTTTAATCATACCTTGGTGGTAGATTAGAGTGGTTTAATGTAGAATGTGTACATTTTCCTTTCCTTTAATGTGTATTTTGGAAGTTTGTCTGCAAAAATTCAATTCTTTCTATATTATACTTGTATTTGCTTTTGTGAAAGGGGATATTGGGGTTTGATTCTTGCGGTGGGGTAATTTAAATTTTGCATTGAGGGGGGGGGGGGCACTTTTTTCTCCAATTTCAAGTAAAACATTTCAATAGCAATGATAAATGTCAAAAAAGTTATCAGTTTCTGTAATGTGGTTTGCAATTTTATTGGTTTGGGACATATGGCGATGTAATCTAGCTTTCAAAATGCATCAATGTAGTTTTTAATTTTGGTTCTTCATCAATCAATACACAAGCTCACTAGCCAAATAAAATACTTCATCAGGCCTTATTTTAAAAATTCTATTGTGGTTGGCAAGAACTGTTTTCTGATTTTTTTGTTGTTGTTATGGGCTAATCTTGTAAATCTATTTAAAAGGACAATTTCACCTTGATTTAAAGCCCAATGGATCATTGTATATGTCATTAATACACTTTAATTGTTATCTTTTTAAAGCATGGACTTATAGAACTCAAAAAGCAAGGTCGTAAACAAAGAAAAGAAAGGAAGAACAGACAAAAGAAAGTACGCGGCACTGCTAAAACTAAAGTTGGTTCTGGAAAGGAGAAGAAGGTATAGTATTATTTTGACCTACATTATGCAGATATTTTAGCTACTTTTTATTAGATCAACATGGATTAGATGTTTGTTTTTTCTTTCTCATAAATTTCTAGATGTGCTGATAGGTTAGCTTATTGGTTGTATGAAAAAAATTGTTGTTGTTTTCATCTGTTTGAAAATATAAATAAAATATATTTTTTTTCAGTCTTAAACAAGGTGAATGTATATCAAGATGTGATTTCATAGCTGTTCTTTGTGGAATAAACATTACAACATTACACAGATCATTTGTTGGTTATTTCTCTTGTAATTAGTGTTGGTTTGACTGATTCAGCATACACACCTGTAGAAAAAAATGAACTAAACTCAACACAATTGGCACCATCAGCAGATATTTATCTTAGGGATATTAAAATTAAATCTTTTGATTTCGAGCTGTTGTGTAAAATTTAGTAGTGAGTTACAAAATTACCAGTTGACACAGTTTTTGAGGAACAGTTTTTTTTTTTTTTTTTTGGATCAACTGAACCGTAGTTATGTTCTGTGGAGGTAAAGATGAGTTAATCTAATGGTGTCACCAGGCCTTGTGGGGTTATTATTAGCCTGTTATTGTTTGGATGCCACTGGGGGGTGTGTGATTGGTATAGAACTTTTAACCAAGAGTTACATTAAGAGAGGTATAACACAGTAGGTCAAAACTTGAAAATAAAGTGATTCAAAATCTACATATTAATTATATTCATTAATAAAATATATGGTAACATTTGAAAAAAATTTAAAGCTGCTTGGGAATGTTTGAACTTGAGTTTTCATATTTCAAACAAAAATTGCCCTGTCACTCGTGGCAACAGGAGTGGCCAGGGTAAGTGATGAAAGTCAACATCTGTTTTACATTATTTGTAATAATGATAAAGTAATACACAAAGGGTAAACAAAAATAGTGAAAGGTGTTTTTCAAGATGTTAATAATGCATTTGCATATCTTTATTGTATAGGTCAAGCATTTTAATAGACTTCTGTAGTGATGCTCAGGTGTTATATTTATTAAAATTACTTGTTTGAATATTTCTAGCCTTAAACTTAATACAAAAAAACTGGAAGTCTTTCTGTACTGATTGCACACATTTTAATAAACTATCACATTTTGGTTGGAGAATAAGCTGTCTGTCAACTACAATTTTAAAGAACAGTCCAACTTTTCACGCTTGTTACCCCATGCAACATCAAGCTCAGCTTACCCAAGTAACAAGTCTGTATTTGGGCTACAATTTTAAACAACAGCCCAACTTTTCATGCTTGTTACCATGCAACATTATGCTCAGCTTACTCTAGTCTGTATTTGGGCTACAATTTTAAACAACAGTCCCAACTTACCAAGCTCATTACCACACGCACTTCACAATATTGTTTTATGCCCATATTTCTCTCAATATAGAAGAAGCATGTATCACTCCGTATTTTAACGGTGGAGAGTTAACTGGGCTGAATTTATTCAGTTTTACCTCCCTGCCAGTTACCTGTCAGGCTGCTGTGGGCTAATTAGGACCGACCTAGACATGTAGTGTTTATAGGGGGCGGGGTGCAGGCTGCATCTTAGCACTTTAAGCATGTCTATAGATTTAAAGAAATGTAGGAAATATATTACTAAGAATCACTAGGTAAGTACTGAAAAAAAAACCCCCAAATTTTCTTGACAGTAAGCATTGACATAAAGCAATAGGTAGACCTACATGGGGAGGGGGGAATTTAATTTAATTAACTGAAAGGATTTCTGGAAGGGGGCGCTGGAATGGATCGCTACGCCTCTGTTGATACCAGTTGTTGACAAACAAGGTAGGACATTTAGCCAAGGCTTATACATTTTTCTGTCATCATACTTCATGGCTGCAAAAGTAGTCAACATAATTGTCAATGTTTACTGAATCAGTGTTTCTTTCAGACCTTTTTCTCGATGGGAGGGGGGGTCACTTGAAACTTTCGGTTATAATTAGCCCATATATGTGATGTTTTCTATATAAATTCTAATTCGTTCTGGTTGGAGAAGGGGGGGGGGGGGCTCCACCACCCTGAAGAGACGCCTGAAAGAAACTTTGTTTTAATTTATTTATTTCTAAGAGTTTGTAAAGTCGGGACTGTGATCCACATGAAGCAATACGCGTTTTGGCTTCTCTATACCGTTACTTCAAAGTTTGTACGGTGGGTTTTAATGCAGTTTTGTGTGTACGTTGGCGACCCACTCACCCCCCCCCCCCCCCCCCACCCCGAAGCACGTCCTCGCTCCTATCGAACTAAATAGAAAACATTTTTAAAAAAGAAAATGACCACTTCTCAACCGGATATCTAAGTCCGCCCACTCGAAAGTTAAACGTGCCCGCCCCCCACCCTCACCCCCATGAAAGAAAAAAAAATGTCTGCGGTCGACATTACTAGGCAGAGTTTCTTCCAGGAATCTCTTCGGGGGGGGGGGGGGGGTCTAAAAGAAAAAAGTCTGGAAGAAACACTGTTACTAGGAGACCGCACCGGGTGTCACTGGACCTAATGACGCCACTAGTCTCTAGGCAGTGGCGTTGCTAGGTCGGGTGCCAACCTGTGCGGAACCTCATGGTGTCACTCCTATTTTTTTCTCTGTAAATTTTGCGGTTGGCATCACTCCCCCCCCCCCCCGGTAAAAGCTTTAAATTGTTCACATTTAATACTAATGGTGCATATCTATAGTCTGTTAATAAAGCTGTGTGTAGCACTAGTAGCATTGTTTCTCTATAGTTTGCATGTTTACTTCATAGTGTTTCCTCCCTTTCACGGCTCCCCCCCCCCCCCTTCTGGTCGCGATCGTCATTATGTAGTTAAATTTTTCTAAACTCTAATTAACCATTCATTGAACTGGCAAAAATTATGTTTATTCTATATATCTTGCAGTGGCGTAGCGAGGTCGGGTGTCACCCGTTGCGGCACTTAATGGTGTCACCCCCCAGTGGCATAGCGACCCTTCCCGGGGACAAACTTTCAATTTTCGATTTGCACCCCTTCCCTCAAACTTTCTATTTCCACCTCTTAAAAGACTATTTAACAATCGAATTAATCACTTAATGAAGTGTAATTATCATTTTCTCTATATATTTTGCTATTTTTTGCCTTGGTGTAACCCCCCCCCCCCCCCCACCCTGAACGGTGTCACCCGGTGCGGTCCGCACCCCCACCCCTGCCTCGGGACGCCTCTGGTCCTAGGTTACCACAATGCGTATCTACGCCGCTGAGTTGGCTTTAATTTAGACCCCCTCCTTCCCTTTAGACAAATTCCTGTTTTCTTTAGATTTAAAACGAGGCCAAGTTTGCTAACATTCATGAGTTGCATCCCTTTGATTAACGTTATCGGCACATTTCCTTCCTCCGTGTCTTATCGGCGGATTCCACAAATTTCAATTGGTTTTAGCTCAGCGGTTATCGAACGACCGGTCCGTGTGTTATTTGAGCTAAACAGAGCTTAGACGCACATTGTCACACGGCCTCTGTGTAAAATAAAGGAACCGCGTTAAATATGAATGAAATAATTCGTTTTCACTAGGGAAAAAAAAAACAACTAGGAAAACCAAATGTAATTTTATTTAAGTTACTTAACTATGACGTAATGGCTTTGTAAATTATTACGTTTTTCTAATACTATGATAAAATACATAACGCATAAATTATGTTAATTTAAAAATTTGAAACTCGACATTAAGTGTGTTTTTAAATTCGAGTGTCTATAATATTTAGCCTACATCTAGAGTTATGCCACCTGCCCTTTGTGCTAAAAAAAGCATGAAGGTCATTGTGTAACTTTGCCAGGTCAGACAATCCGTATATGGTTTATGTTATGTATGAGGGTAATACGAGAATGTCTCATATAACATTTTTTTTTATCATTCAAATTTTATTACGAGGGGGGAATAAAGAAACGAAATCTTCAGTCCCTTTTCGTTTGGATGGAGTTTTTATTTAATTCGAGGGGCTGTCCGACAGCTCGTCTGGGGGGGGGGGGGGGGGTTGAGGAGTTGAATATTTTTTAGAGTGCCATAACTGTACTCCACTTAAAAGCAATCAGTGTTTCTTCCAGACTTTTTTCTCCGGTGGGGGGGGGGGGGGGGCGCCTAAATGGGTTGGAAAAATAAATTGGAAGGTTGAGGGGGGGGGGGGGGTGCAAATCGAAAAGTTTGTCCCCGGACGCTGGGACGCCTCTGGGGGGGGGGGGGCACTTGAATTTTCGGGGGGGGGGGGGGGGCTGTAGACTTTCTTCGGGGGGGGGGGGGGGGCGGACACTGTTTAAACTATATATTTCCTATATAAATTTCATTTCGTTCGGGGGGGGGGGGGCGGTAGACTTTCTTCGGGGGGGGGGGGGCTCTGCCCCCCCCCCCCGAAGAGTTGCCTGGAAGAAACTCTGAAAGCAATTCGTTTGAAATTTTAAATCTCAACATTCGACACTTTGTCGGCCTTAAACAAACAAACGAACAAAAAAAAAAAAAGACTGATAATGTAACATTAGCATTGTTTTTACGGATTAAGGTTTAGGCATACTTGACAAGTGATTAGCTATCTGTAATTATATATTTATCTAAAAAAAATCACGTTAAAGAAATTGCGCGACCTTTGAACGCATTATTTGGAACATATGGGGGGGGGGGGTAACAAAATTGAGCAAATGTGTCTAAATGATTTGTGTGGGTGGAGGGGGTGGGAAGGACGTGTTTATAATACAAAGTTTGAACAGTTCTGTGATACAGAGAAGCAGGGCTTGATTGTAACAGGCTGCCAGCTGAGGCAAGGTGTAAGCTGAGGCAAGGTGTAAGCATACTTCAGGTGTAAGCATACTTAGGTGTAAGCATACTTCAGGTGTAAGCATAATTCAGGTGTAAGCATTGTTCAGGTGTAGAGTCCAGCCTAAGCAGAGGCCAGGTGTAAGCAGAGACGAGGTGTAAGCATTCTTGATGTGTAAGCATACTATAGGTATAAACTTAGGCTGGGTGTAAGCAGAGGCCAGGTGTAATCATACTTTAGGTGTAAGCATATTTCAGGTGTAAGCATACTTCAGGTGTAAGCATACTTCAGGTGTAAGCATACTTCAGGTGTAAGCATACTTCGGGTATAGAGCCAGGTGTAAGCAGAGGCCAGGTGTAAGCAGAATCCAGGTGTAAGTAGAGTACAGGTGTAAGCAGAGAACAGGTGATATAGTTATTGGCTGAATCGATATAATTAATGAACTATGTCACTTGATTAGATATTCCACACCGCTCTGAATGCA